GCGAGGACGACGTGCCGCAGCACCACAGCAACGATCCTGTGATGGTGGCCGAAATGTGGGAAATAGTTTCAATCATGGAAGAGAAGAAGCCGGAAGACACGGACAGGTTATTTCCCGTGCTGTCTCACCTCGACCTCTCCCTCTCCGCCTGCTCGCCTCTCGTCCTCCGCTTCGTCTCCTGCCTCTCTGCCCAGCTTCAGTATCTCTCTCTCTCTGCTGAAGATCTTTTCGCGCCTAAGGAGGGCGAAGAGGCCGCTGAAAGCGACGAGAACGCGCGTGAGAGGGACGCGGACGGGCGAGAGTCCTTCACTCTTCACCTCCCGCTGGCCACTAATGTCAGACTCGACAGGCTCAACTGCTCTATCTCGCTCTCCGCCCCTCGTCTCTCCTCCCTCGGTTTTCACTGGCAGTCCCACGATTCCCGCCTGCTCCTGCTCCTTACCTGCCCCGCACACCTGACATCTCTCTTCCTTCGCAGCGACCCGACCTGCCCTTGGGCATTTCACGCGCCTCACCTCACCTCGCTTCACTCCCTCTGCACCGATATGGAGCCAGAGCAGGAGGCATGCCTTCCGCCGGGTGTGATAGAGACAGTCAAGATCCTAGAGTGGCGAAATCCTATGGATTCCCAGTTGCTGGACCTGAGTGCTTGGCACGGCCTGCGCTGCCTTCATGCTGTAGGCTGGGCCCCGGTGCCTCTGTCGGTCTTTCGCTCGGGTGAGCTCTGGCCTTGTGACTTGGAGGGGATGTTTTTCTCGAGTATTGGGAGCGAGGTTATGCGGTTTCTTGAGAGTGGGTTGGGAGGAGGCGATGGGGGGGAAGCTTGGGAACAAGGAGCCCTGGAGGGGAGGGCACGTTGAGAGACCGAGGTGAGGTAGGCATGGAAACAGGAGGTTGTTCAACATTGGCGGAGGAAGGCAGTCGTGCGGATGCTGGGAACGGGGATGCGGATCGGGAAAATGGGAGGAATCTATTGACTCGACTGCTACCGGGATGCAGAAGTCTGCAGCGGTTTGAGGGGTGGGATGGCGAGGAATGTGTGTTGTATGTGCTGGATGCTGCTGAAGGGCTGAGTAAGGAAGTGGGGGGCGAATCAGGAGATGGTTTTACGAAGAATTGCGGTAACAAGCGGAAGTTTTTGAAAGCTAGAGGAATTGCGGATTACCGGTAGGTGAGACTGCTTGAATCTAACATAGGGTGTGTGACTGATTGCTTTGTAGACATATTTAGCTAGCTGTCATAAACATAAGTCAGCATCATCTGAATTTATTGTGAGATGTAATGATGTAAACAATGCCGAGCTAAAACCATCGAGAACTACTGTGCAATGAAGAGTGGGCCGTAATTTTCCCCTTCCCCCAACCATTCAAGTTTCCAAGGCGTGAACACCTCGGAGCTAAGGATGACATCGGAGCTGCTCTCAAACCGCACAATAGGTTCCCATGAAACAGCTCTTTTCAAATCAGCCGCATACGGGCTCATCCTTCGCGGGTCGCTTGCAGTTGGGCTATCCATCCACGCTAGTAGAGCCTCCTTGCCGCCACGCATATCAGCGCCTGTCGCATCCGTTACATCTGCCGCATCCGTCCCATCTGTTCAATCGGTCTAATCCATTTTCCGCCAGAGTGTGACTACCGTTCGCCGCACCGTCTCGCTTCGCACGCTTTTTTCACCTCCTCGGTCAAACTCCTTTCCAGTTCGTTCGACCTCCTAAGAAGCAGTAATTTGGATAAACCATTAGCAGAAAACACTATTTACTGATTAATTCTAATTTCTGTGGGCTCAGCGGCTTGCCGAAGCGGTCTTGGAGGCGGACGAGAGAGTCGAGGATTGGGGAGCAGCCGCGGCGGGACGACATGTGGCCCTTCGGCAATTCCGGGAAGCAGCAAGGTGGGCGGAGGGAGGCGCGTGGTGTGGAGAGTGGAGAGGAAGGGGAAGCGGGAGGGGGTGAATGAGAAAAGCGGTTCTCGCACCTCTGTTCACTGCACTCTTAAATTTCCTTCTTGCTCCGCTGCAGCTCTGCCTTTGCGTCACGAGGGGGGAAGGTCCTACTACGACGTGCAGCCTGGCGACAACCTGACAAAGATTGCCGGCCAGCTGGGAAGCACCGTGGAGATTCTCATGCAGGTAATGATCGTGCTGGCCCGGTCTGTTGGGGTAGAGAAGAGGGAGTGTTTGCAACGCAAAAGCTCTGCTGTCTGCTCCTTTCACCATGTCCCCTGTTAGTTCTTGTTGTCAGATTTTACTCCCTTGAGTGTGCTCACCCATGTTCTTTCCATGGAGTGCTGGCAGGCCAATGCACTACGCTCAGACCTCATACACCCCGGACAGAGCCTCTGGGTTCCGCGCACATATACCATTGCAAAGGTGTGTTTCCCCACATACACCATCGAAAAGCTTTGCTCTGCACACCATGACCCATGGTATGTGCACTCCGCATGCTGTTTTCTGTGAACCTTGTTCTTGCTGTTTTCAGCCATAGTTCTGCTATGTCATAGATACTGTCTCCTACGTTGCACGGACTGTGAACGTGACACTGTGAACGTGCAGGGTGACACTTTGTATGCCATAGCTCGTATGCATGGAACAACAGTGGATGCGATTATGCAGATCAACAACATTCAAGATGCAAATCTGATTCGTACAGGTGAAGTATAATTCCATCACTTGCCCCTCTCACCCCTCTCGTGCTATGCTCTGTGAACCTCTCTGCTCCTTTGAAGATGTAAATTTCTGTGTTTACTGCAGGTGACATAATTTTGTTGCCATAGAAGGGCTATTTCTATTTGAGTGCGTTTGATGGTAAATAGATTGCAACATGTAGAGTACCCCACTTTTTCACAACTTTTTTGTATGATAAATTCATGATGAGATGTTGTTTATTTCCTATATTGAAGTGGAGCATTGGACAACTGGATTTCACAGTGGTTGGGAAAGACCTGGTGCTCAGCCTGGTTGTGTGGCTCGTTATCTCTCACACCTGTCTGCCATGAACCCGTTGCTCTCATAGTACTACGATAAGTCCAGCAATCTGTATTCACTTGTGATGTTGCTTATTGTTGGGTATTCGTGGGGTGCACTGGAGTGCGTGATTTGGAACGTCAGTCACGCACTGGTCCTTGCCATGCCTCGTTGATTCGTCCCCACAATCATTTGTTACGTGCCTGCGGGGCAAAGGCTGACAGATTGTTAGGTTCGGAGATATCGTTTGGGGAGGGTTGATATTGGGGTGCAGAACATTTATCGTGCTTCCAAATGTACCCATTTTCAGGAGTGTGGACTCAACCGTAAGCGCATGTGCTGTAGTCGATCCGTTAGTCAAGTCACCTTGTCAAGTCACCCTGAAAGAGTCAGCATTCCCGTTCAGGTTAACCATACCCGGAGCTAAGCGGTCATGTAGTTCCCTTTTTACGTGGTACCCAGGAAAGCTATCCCTACGTCGTGACTCAAGCCAGAACGCCGGAGCTGGCGATAGATTTGGCGGAGAGACTCAGCTTCGGCAAGACGGACGACGTGGAATCCCGCTGCTGTTTCGGATTTGGCAAAAATTAAGTAGCCCGTTAGGTGCAGCCACGTAATATGACAACCAGGAGGTTGGTGTTTCCAAAGCTAAACTCCCCCCAAAATTGCGCAAGCATTCGGGCAGGACGCATGAAACTGCACCTGTTTCTTCCTCTTTGTTTGTTTAGTTCGAAAATTTGAACTGACCAAACCTGACTCCAGCAGCTGCTTTCCTGCATGCGATGCGCAACAAGCAGTGAGATAGCAAGATGCTGGACTTCGCTTCGGCCTCCGCTGGCCCGAGTCAAAGAGACTGGGGAGTGGAGGAGACTCTCCATCGAGGCAACTTGTTGGTGCATCTGACGGGACTGCGGCAATCCCAAGGCAAGGCACTCTCCCTCCCCTCAGCTCGGCATTTATGCTTCCCGCCACTTCGAGACAAATAGGTAGCGTGTAGTGAGCTATCAGGCGCAAGCCGCGCTGAGCCAGCCATTGGCCACAACAACAACACACGACACAAGGTCGCTAAATCAGGAAGAGGAGTTTCCGAGAGAATTTGAGCCTTATAATAGCTTTTCGTGCGCTACGAGACAATGCTTCGTCCTTACCGTCGCCACTATTTCAGGCTGGTTTTTTTCGGGTTGCAACGTAGTACTGTTTATTCTCGTCCCTCTGAAATTCGACCAAGTCTTAGGAAGCATCCTCGTTCCAGCTTAGGATTCTCCAGGCCTGCACGCGCGAACTCGCAATTTACGCATTGACCTTTGCCTGAGTAACTACACACTGCTATTAGGACGGAACCAGCTCCACGAATATTGTTTTTTACTTTACCTGTTAGGTTCTGCTTGTCGTCGTCCGCGCAATAAAATACCCGTTATCCGCACCTGTTACACATCATAGACTCCTGTATCGTGTTTCCGCGGTGCCTTCGTCTCTGTGTTTTGCTCTCGTTGCCCCATAACATTCCATCTAACCCTAACTGGCCATCGACCGTGCCTTGCCTTCTCTCCGACCGCGTCAACCTCGTCCCCCTAGTCCCTCGTTAACCGCCATCACACCGTTGTGCGCCGTCGGACGTCTCGTCAGCTCCCTCCCATCGTTGTTCTCTCCGTCGCCCTCACCCAGTCGTGCCACACGCGTGGGTAGTCCCCGCCTTCCAGTCTCCTCGCCAGCCACTGTCGTGCGTCGCTGCGAAATCCAGACCAGCTAGCAAAAGCAATATCGCGAGCCCGTGGTTTTCTTCGCACGCTTCTCGCGCTCACCGCTTCCCCATCACCAGCCGTTTCCGCTGGCGTAGCTTAGCTCCGTGATTTCAGGGGCCGTGAGACAAAACAATGATGTCAGGGTCACATACGTGCTGATGTCAGCGTCGCAGCGAAAGGGACAGGCCAAGCGCCATGGAAATGGCCCTTCCGGTAGCGCCGGGAGCTAACCAGCAGCCGCTCCTGCCGCCGCAGGCGCTTCAGAATCAGCACCAGCGTCAGCCAATCAGAAAGAAGATGTCAAGAGACCGAGGCGCGAGGTTGATTGAGGAGAGAGCAGTGGGAGCCGGCAGGGAGGGTACGGCGGTCCTTAGGCAGTCGTCGGAGCAGCGGGGTCAGGAGCCCGGGGGTTGCGACGGTGCGAGGCAGCGAGGGGAGATGGTACCGCCTGTAGCAGGGGATGTGATGTTAGAGGGGTGAGTGTAGCCGAGAGAGGTTGCTGCGACGGTGGGGAAGCGAGGAGCGTGGAAATAAAGGAGGAGCAGCAGGAGTGGGTGGTGGGGAAATGGGAGGAGGCGAAAGAGGCGAAGAAGGGGGAGGATGCGAGAGTAAGTAGTAGTCACGAGCAGGTGCAGGAAGGAGGGGACGAGGAGGGTAGAGTGAAGCAGGAGCAGGGGCCGTCGAGCACAGGTGATCAGCAGCAGCAGGACAGGGATGCTGAGGCGAGAAGACAAGGCCAGGGTGGCACGGACGCGGTTGCGTTGGACGGCGAATGGGGCGAGGGAGGCGACGGCGAGCAGGTTGTGTACAGGCTGTGCAGGGTGGACCCCGTTGACCGCGTTGACTCCGTTGACTTCCTTGACGCCGTGCCCATATCGGAGCGCGAGCTGGAGGAGCTTCAGGCGTGGATGCTCCGCCATGCGCCCGACGCGCTCGCCCTGCCCCTGCCGCCCGGGGCGGTGGAGGCTGCGGGGGAGGCGGACATGGCGGAGTGGTTATCAGGGGAAGGATTAGGGTTGGGGGAGGAAGGTGGTGCAGGTGAGGCGGACGAGCCCCCCCTGGCCTCCCCGCCTCTTCCCTGGTCGGGTGGGGAGGCGGGAGTGGTAGGGACTGGGCAGCCACGTGGCAGGTCGCTATTGGCCAGAGGGCAGGCACGAGGAGAAGGGCGGATAGGGAGGGGCGTGAAGACGGAGTTAGGATTCGGGCCAGATGACGTGAAGAGTGGGCAGGACGGCCGGTCAGGTCAATTGAATCCCCGTGCGGCCATTAACGGCGTGCTTGCTCTGCCAACCAATGAGACGAGGACAGGTGTGCACGCGCGTCAGGAGTTTCTGGATTTTCTCCTGATGGAGATTTCGCACCACGAGCTCGCAGTGGGGCAAAGTAGCGCAACCCCTCATCATCATTCCCGCGCCGACCTCTCCTCCCCTCATTCGCTCCCCCCTCCGCCCCCCCAATCCCGCCATCCAGCCCATGACCAACACCATCCCCCCTTCCTCTCCGCCCCGCGCTCCATTCCCGCTCATGGGCGGGTGGGGCGGCCAAGGGGAGCTCTGGGCGGGGTGCGGGGGCGGAGGGGGAGAGGGAGAGGCGTGGGAATGGCTCGACGTACTACAGATGGCGGCGCTGGTGGTCCAGGGCTCGCGGAAGACGCGGGGGAGCCGCACACTGCAGCCGGCGCAATAGTAAGGGGCGCGGGGGAAGAGCAGGGGGCGGACGGCGGCGCACAAGGGATGGGGGAGGAGGGGGAGGGAGCGAGCGCAGGGGGAAGGGCGAGGGTGGGGCGCCGCAGCAGGTGGCGGATGGGGGGCCGGGGGAGGGACGAGGAGGTGGTGTGGAGGGGATGGGGGGCTGCGCATGCCCTGTCAGGGGGAGAGGGAGGGGCGCAAGGAGGGCCAGCAGCGGGAGCAGAGGAAGGAGCAGATGGATTGGAGCGAGATGGTCAAGAAGCTGGAATAGGCGGGCATGGGCTAGGGTTAGGGTTAGGGTTAGGGTTAGAGGGAGCAGCGTGGGAGTGGTTAGGCTCTGGTGGATGGCCCACTCGGCCTCGCAGCAGGCGGGGTCAATCAAGTCAAAAAGTTCAAATAGGTCAAGCTGGCCAAACGGGTCAACGGAGTCAACGCAGTCAACGACCACCTGCTGCCACAGCCGCTGCCCTGCTTACTGAGGCGGGTGGGGCAGCTATGGGGCAGTCAACAGCTGGGGGGACTGGCGCCAGCGGACGAGCCTCAGCAAGCGCAGCCCTTGGCGCTGCCCCACACCCGCCCAGCCCGCGCCATCTCCGCTCCTCCCCCATTGCTTCCGCCCCCGCTTCCCCCGTTGCACGGCCTAGAGGGGCGCAAGGGGGGGCGCCGCCGGCGGAGGAGGGCAGGGGGAGGAGAGTGAGCGCGCGGCGGGGGGCGGTGGGCGCCAGGCAGCAGCGCTGCAGGCGAAGGTAGAGCCGGGGGAGGCGTCTTCTGATACTGCTGCTGTGGCTGCAGCAGTGATTGGCGCTGCTGCTGCTGCAGCAGGGGGAGCGGCGATTGCAGGTGTGTCTGCAGCTCCTGCTGTGGAGGCATCCGCGGGAAGGGGTGCGCGGAGTGGGAGTGAGGCGCAGCAAGTGGCGCAGCAGCAGGGCGGAGAGGCTACGGAAGGGGGGAGAGGGGGAGGAAAGAGGCAGAGATTGCAGTCTGGATGGCGGGCAATGGGGGAAGGGAGAGTGAAGCGGGAGGGGGAGGGGGAGCCGGAAGAAGAGGGGCGAGGGGAGGCTAAAGAGGCGGAGGGATTTTGGGGACCATTGGGAGGGGGGGTGCGGCAGGGGGGTGAGAATGCAGCAGCAGATGTAGCAGAGGAGAGCGGGGAGGAGGCAAGAGAGGAGGCGAGATTAGAGCGAGCGAGTGATGATGGCGACGAAGCTGATGCTTCAGGGGCTGAATACGCTGCAGTGGGCGCAGATGCCGCAGGTGGTGCCAGCGCTGCCGACACTGCTGTGAATGCATGTGTGTCTGACGGGGCTGGCGCAGGTGAGTGGAAGGAGGGGGGGAGCAGGGGCACACGTGGTAAGGGAGTGAGGGCAGGGCGGGGCAGAGGCAGAGGTAGAGGGCGAGGCAGGTGGAAGGTGGAGGGGCGGCTGGGAAGGGACGTGCCGGGTAGAAGGGCGAGGAGTAGGGAAGGAGGGGCGGGGGGAGAAGCGAGGTGGAAGAGCCGTGTGGGTGGGGAGGCAGAAGCAGGAGAGGAGGAGGACGCTGGCTGGGCGATTGACCTGAGGGAAGGGGAGGAAGCGGAGGAGGAGAGAGTGGGGGAGGAGAGAGGGCAGTCAGATGGAGCGAGGGGGATGCAGGAGATGGGTGCCGGGCGAAATTGGGTGGAAGGTGAGGTTGGGGGCAAGGGTGGGGCAGGGGAAGGGGCGGGTGAGATGCAGCAAGGGAGAGGTGGAGAAGGGGAGGGCGTGAGCGGGGTCGTGGACCCCTCAGTATCGCGGCAGCTGAGGCTGCAGCGACGGCAGCTGATTCAGAAACAGTGGGAGGAGCGGCAGCGCATGCAGCAGCAGGTTCGGCAGGCCGAGGCTCGGCGGAAACATGTTCGGCAAACACAGGGGGAGCAAGCGCAGGCTCGGGAGGGGCGGCAAGAGCCAGAGGAGGAACGTATGCAACCCCAGGGTGGGGCTGTGGCAGAGAGGGCAGCAGGTGGAGAGGAGGGCCAGACGATTGGGGGAAGAGACGGGGGAGAGGCGGGAGAAGCGGGACAAGGGGGAGGAGCAAGAGAAGCAGGGGAAGGGGGAGAAGGGGGAGAAGGTGGTGAGGTGCAGGATCTGAGAGCGAGCAGCGGAGGGGAAGACGTGGAGATGGAGGTGCGTGGAGGGGCAGTGGGGGCCGGCATGGTGGCAGGAGGGGGCAGTGCGGGGAGAGGAGGGGGAGAAGGTGAGCAACAAGGAGACGGGGAGGCGCGTTTGGAGGATACGGGGGTGGGTGGAAGGTCGATGGCTGGTGGCATAGCAGCAGGAGCAGCAAGGCAGAGGCATGTTGGGGAAGAGGAGGCGCAAGAGCAGCAGCAGAGAAGCAAGGGTGAGAAGGGGTGGCAGGTGGAGTGTGTGGGTGACGAGAGGCACTTGGTGGATGGTTCTGGGCGTGCTCTCAGACAAACGGACGAGGCAGAGGTTATGGAAATGGGGACAACTAGAGAAGGTGATGCGGAAACCTCTAAGGTGGTAGATGAAACGGTAGATGAAACGCATGTACAGTTACAGGTACTGACACGGACCGAGGAGCTGACAGATGCTAGGAACCAGACACGCGTAGGTGGGGCTGGTGGGACAGGGCCACGGATTGAGTCTCAAGTAAGTGAGACTGCACATGTACAGGTGGCACACGCTGACGTGGCACAGGCTGAGTTGGCTAAAGCTGATGCAGAGAGGGTTAGGCAGGACGAGGGAAAGGCGGGGCCCTGTGTTGAGCTGCTGGCGAGGAATGGAGTGCTAAGGGACGGAGCGCAGAAGAAGGTAGCGGAGAGGGAGGGAGTGGGAAGGGATGAAGTGGTGAGGCAACACAAGGGGCGGAAGGCAGGCGAGCAGCGGCAGGCAGGGCGGCAGAGGCGGAGAGGGAAGGGAGGGCATGGACTGCAGGGAGGGCAGCAGGCGCAGCAGGAGCAGCAGGCGAGTGGGCAAGCACAGGAGCAAGGCCGGGTGGACGGGCAGGCAGGGAGACAGGGGCGCGAGTTGAGTGGTGGGCAGGCGGGAGAGGAGGGAGGTGGTAAGAGGGACGGTGGCGGCAGTGGAAGAGGTGGGAACGGCGTGCTGAGAGGGCAGGCGAGCAGTAGTCCGCAACACATGGTGACATATGCTCATGCTGCTGACCCCGCTCCTGCTCATGCTGCTGATCCCGCTCCTGCTCACACTGCTACACACACCTTTGCTCACACTTCTGCAGCGTCCCCTCCACGAAAAGTGTTACCAACCGCACAGCTGCCTGCAGCGCAGCAGATTGCTGAAACGAGTCCTGGCTTGGCGGTTATTGGTGGTTGGAGTGAAGAGGCGCAAGGGAAGCCACACAGAGGGGAGGGGACAGAGCCGCTGCAAGGTGGGCAAGAGGCGGCGGGCACGCAGAGGCACGATGCGGCGGAAGGCCAGGGGCCACAGAGGCAGCAGGTGCAAGCGGCGCAGCTGGTGCAAGCGGCGCAGCAAGAGCATGGACGGCAAGAAGAGGACGAACGGAAGCAGGAGGAGCAGCGAGACGAGGGGGCTAGGGAGGTGGTGAAAGGTAAAGAGCGAGAGGAGGGGCCAAGGGACGTGGTGGCAGGCAGGCAGCGCGACGGACAGGGACAGGAGGAGGAGGAGCAACAGCAGCAGCAACAGCAGCAGCAACAGCAGCAGCAACAGCAGCAGCAGCAGCAGCGAATGTTGAAGGAGAAGCAGAGGCAGCAGCGGTTGCAGCAGAAGCGGCAGCAGATGCAGCAGAAGCAACAGGAGCAGCGGCGGCGGCAGCAGCAGCAGCTGGAGGAGGAGATGGAGAGGCAGGCGCAGCAGGAGCTGCAGCGGCAGCAGCAGTTTGGCCTGGCAGGCGTGTGGCAGCAGCAGGTGCTGCTGCAGCAGCAACAGAGGGCGCTGGAGCTGCAACAACAGCAACAACAGCCACAGCAGCAACAACAGCCACAGCAACCGCAGCTGCCGCAGCTGCCCCAGCAATCACAGCAGCCGCTGCAACAACCGCAACCGCCGCAGCAACAGCAACAAGAACCGCAGCAACAACAGCCGCTTCAACAGCAGCAGGTGCAGCAGCAGGCAGAGGCGGCGGGAGCAGGGGCTCAGCAGGTGCAGAGCATGCTGAGCGAGGCGGTGCTGCAGCAGGTGTGGCAGCAGGTGCTGCAATCGCGAGGTGCCGCCGTGGCAGCTGCCACGCTGCTGGAGCGACCTCAGCTGCTGGTTCAGCTGCTGGCCCGGCAGCAGGAGGAACGACTGGCTGCAGGAGGGGGAGCAGGGGCAGGGGGAGCAGGAGGGGGAGTAGGCGGAGTAGTAGGTGCAGCAGGAGTAGCAGGGGGAGGTGCAGTGGGGTCACATGGATTCTCACCTAGCTGGGATCAGCGCCAGCAGCAGCAGCAGCAGCAGCAAGAGCAGTTAGAGGGGGGGGCAGGCAGTGGTGGTGGTGCAGGGTGGGGCATCGGAATGGCACCAGGTGTGGCCGTACCCACGGGTGTGGCCGTGCCAACGGGTGTGGGAGTGCCAACGGGTGTGGGAGTGCCAACGGGTGTGGGAGGCAGCAGCCCTGTCACTAGCCCTCTCCGTGCACCTGCTGCCTTCCCCTTCACAACCCCTGCTGCTTCTGCTCCCTTCCCGTCTGCCCCTGCTTCCTCGCGCTCCCCTCTTTCTTCTCCGCCCCCTGCTGCTGCTCCCGCTCCTGCACCTGCGCTTGCTCCTGCTGTCCCTGCTGCCCCTGCTACTGCTGCCCTTGCTCCTGCTAATGCCAATGCTACTGCTGCGCGCGCCAGTCCCAACCACGTCATCAGCGCCAGCCCACTCTCCAGCCCTCTCCGCGGCCTGCCCGCCCCTCTGCCTCCTGCTGCTGCCGTTTATGCTGCCACTGCCAATATTGCTCCTGCTGCTGCTGGTGCCAATGCTGGCAATGGTGGCAGCAAAGGGAAGGGAAAGCGAGTGGGAGAAGCGGGTGGAAGCAGTGGGAAGGGAGGGAAGGGGAAAGGGCGAGAGGCAGGGGCAGGGGCGCACGGGAAGGAAGCAGTACCGATTGCAGGCGCTACAGCTGGTGACCCAGTTCATGCTGTTGGGAAAGCAGCTGCTACAACCGCGGCTGAAGTTGCGGCTACAGTTGCTACAGCTGCAACAGGTGCCACATCCAGGCAGGCGAATGCTATGTCTGGCGAAGCAGGAGGCACAGCTGACAAGGGGAGTGGATTAGTGAGTGGTGCTTGTGGGGGGTTTGGCAGAGGCGAGGGGAGAATGGAGGAGGCTGGCAGAGAAGCGCAAGCGGCAGCAGGAGCAGTAGGAGTGAGTGAGAGAGTATTGAGTGAGAGAGGAGGGAGAGAAGGGAGTGATAAAGTGCCGGAGAAAGGAGTGAGTGAGAGGAGCCGCAGGAAGAGGGTTCTGAACTCGAGGTACTATGAGGGGGGGTTTCAATACGAGGGTGACTATGTCGAAGGGGAGGAGGGGCAACCCTCAGAACCAGATATGGACTGGCATCCTACTGGTGCTGACGTGGCAGCAGCTGGAAGGGGAGGAGGAGTGGTAGGAGGGATGGGCGCGGGAGGTCATAGTGGGGACTATGCTGCCACATTAGGGTTTACTGTAGATGCTGACGTGGCAGGCATGGCAAGAGCCGTGATGGCCTGGGGAAGGCAGCAGGTGGGGGAGGGCGCTTCCTCTCTGCCCGATGCTGCCACCATGCCTGAGCCTGCTGCTGCTGCTGCCTGCTGCTGCTGCTGCAGGTGGCGGTGGTTGGGGAACAGAAGGGGAAGTGAGAGGAGCGGTGGGGGGGAAGGGAGCAGGCAGGGGGAGGGCAGGGGGGAGGGGAGTGGGGAAAGGGGATGGCGCTGCTGCTATGTGGGGAAGAGCAAAGCGGGGCAGGGTGGGCGAGGGCGGCTTGGAGGCTGCTGGGGGCAGTGCAGGGGAAGAGGCGGGGGAGGGGGGTGAGCGGGGGGAAGGTGGGGATGGTTGGGCAGGGGGGTGGAGGAGGCTGGTGGAGTAGGAGTGTTGGCATCACAGGTTGCTGCTGCTGCTGCTGCTGCGGCTGTTGCTGCTGCCAAGGAGAGGCCTCCAGCAAAAGTGAGTGACAGTGCAGTAACCGCATGGTATGGTTACGGTGCAGTGTTGAATCTCGTTTGGTTCATGCAGCGGGCCGTGCGGTGGTTGCAGTCAGAAATTTCCGTTTTGGGCTGAGAAGGCAGGAAAGAATGCTTCAACCTTGCCAAGGATGCGTTTTGCTGAACCCCTGTCTGCTCTGCTTCCCTCCCTCCCTTTGGCAGAAGAGGAAATCCTCACTGTCATCGTCAGCAGCAGCACCACCACCAGTACCAGCAGCAGCCGGCGTGACGTCCCCCCAGAGGCAGCTGTTGGCTCAGCAGCAGCAGCAGCAGCAGCGGGCGGGTGGTGTGGCGGGAGGTGGAGGGAGAGGGAAGGGTGGTGGCAGGAAGGGCGAGGCGAGGTGGTCACGGACGTCTGCGGGTGGAGGAGGAGAAGGAGCACTAGGAGAGGAAGGGGGGGCAGCAGCAGCATCACTGGAGGGCACAGGACCAGCAGCAGCGGCAGCAGGAGCAGCAGTGGGAGGATTGGCAGCAGCAGCAGCAGCAGCAGTGGCAGGAGCATCACCCCGAGGCGCCACGCCACCAGGGGCCAGCCTGCTGGGGGGTGCTTTGGACGGGCCAGGGCCTTCCACCTCCAAGCTGCAGGAAGCTTCCTGGATGGAGCTCTCCAGCATGGTCGGCCTCTCCCCTGTGCCGGCGCTCACCCCCCTGCCTCCTGCCGCCCTTGCCGACCACCCCGCCGCCCTCTCCTGTGGGCTTGCCGCCCGGGCTCTTCCAAGTGGAACTGTGGGGAAGCAGCAAGGAGGGGGATTCGTGGACAATGGGGGTGTGGGGGGTGGGGCGAGAGGAGGGGGAGATGAGGGGTTGGTGGGGATGGCAAGGGGGGGGGGGGCGGGGAGTGGGGGGGAGGAGGGGGCAGTGGGGAGAGTGGGGATGAGGTGGGGGCTCCTATGAGCCCCTCTGGCACACCCCTGAGACCTCCCTCCCTCCAGCAGCAGCAGCAGCAGCGACATGGGATGGAGAGGGGGAGTGTGGCAGCTGCTGCTGCTGTAACAGGTGGTGGTGGTGGTGGAGGGGGGACGAAGAAGGGGGGAGGAACAGCAGGGCGCGCGGAGGGGGGAGGGGGGTCGCGGAGGCATGGAGCATCTAGCAGGGCGGGGAAGAAGGCAGGTGGTTCGGGAGCAGTGGCAGGCGGAGCAGGGACTTCTGGAGCTGGGGCAGGGCTAGCGGCAGCAGGAGTAGCAGCGCCAGCAGCAGCAGCAGCAGCAGCGGCGTTTTCTGACTTTGGAGGGGTGAGCAGCGGTGGCAGCGGGGGCGAGGGGGCGGGCGATGCGCGTATGTACACAGCGAATGGGGGGCTGCGGCGCAAGCACCACCGGCCGTGGACGCTGAGGGAGGTGATGATCCTGGTGGATGGCGTGGCGCGGTGCGGTGGGGGCAAGTGGGCCGACATCAAGAAGCTCGCCTTCTCCTCCATTGGCTACCGCACTGCCGTTGACCTCAAGGTACCGTGTTGACTGCCGTTGACCTCAAGGTACCGTGTTGACTGCCGTTGACCTCAAGGTACCGTGTTGACTGCATGGGAGATGAATCTTAGCCTGCATCTCCCTTCCTCACCGCTGCCTCCTTCCTCTCTCTTGTCTGCGATCCAATCACGGCAGGACAAGTGGCGCAATCTGCTGCGTGCAAGCAAGATGGCGCTCCAGCCACCCAAAGAGGTACCATGCACATCAGGTCCCAGCATTCCCTGCCACCATGCACTACTTCCCACCGCAAGAAACATGTCTCCCCCCCCCCTGCTCCTCTACACTCACCTTCCACACCTCACCCTTGTGTCTCTCTGCCACCCCCTGCCCTTCCCCTCCGCTCCCCCTCCCTCGCCCTCACCTACTCCCCCCTCACCACCGCCTCCTTCGTCCTGGTGTGACTGGCGGGCGGGCAGCAGGGCGAGCAGCGCAAGAAGCAGGTGTCGGCGTCCATCCCGCCCGCCGTGCTGGCGCGCGTGAGGGAGCTCGCTCAGCAGCAGGAGGCGCAGACGCACCTCAAGCTGCACTCCACCGCTGCCGGGGGGGGCGCAGGGGGGGCAGCAGCGACAGGGGGAGGGGCAGGGGCAGGAGAAGGGGGGTCAGGGGAAGGAGGAGGGGCAGGCGGAGGAGGGGGTGCAGAAAGAGGTGGGACGACTGGGGCAGGGGCGAGAAGCAAGGAAGGAGAAGGTGAAGGACAAGGGGGCGCTGCTGCTGCTGCTGACCCTCTTTCTGTCCTTCCATCCCCCCTCTGCTGCTGCTGCTGCTGCTGCTGCTGCTGCTGCTGCTGGAAGGGTTGGAGGGGTCGCGCCTGACCCTCAAGCACCGCCCCTGCATGCATCCACACCAGCTGCCAGCACCCCTCTCAGCCCCCCCCTGCACTGCCTCACCTCCCCTCCCTTCCCCTCTGCCTTCCCCTCCACTCTCTCACACCCCTCCTCTCCTGCCTCCGCACTGCCAAACCTGTTTCCTGCGCCTCGCTTCGGCCCGGACCTGACGTCTGCAGAGGAGGAGCAAGGAGGGTCGGGGGATGGGGGGAAGGAGATGGCAGGAGGGGGAGAGGGAGGGGAAGAGGGCTTTGGGGAGGGAGTGGACGAGGGAGAGTTAGAGGGGGAGGGGGAGGGACAGCAGGAGTGTGAGGAGGATGAGGAGCTGATAGGGCTGGCAGAGAGCTTCAGGAGCAGTGGGGATGCCATGGACTTGCCATCGTGGGCATGATACCTTTGACATGTGGTATGTGCAGGACCGTGAATCTGCAGGGCGGGAATAGAGTGCATGAGGGGCAAAGGCCAATGGGCCCGTGTGTGTGCGGATCACTCCCCTTCACACCTTACCTTCATCACCCTTGGCTTGTGAGTCGGCACCAGCTCTCCCAGGCTTTTCCACTGCTAGGAAAAGGGCCTGACACTTGCTACCTGCGTATTGGATATGCGCAGCAGCTGTTATTGGCTCTTGCGCTCCACTTACATAAGCCTTACTATAAACGGTATAGCTCTAATCTAATTACCTACCGTAATCATATTGGGCTTTGTGGTGGGTTACTGGGAACTGGAAGAAAAGGGTTTGGCCGCCCTTTTTTAGTATCCAGCATGTACAGGTAGCCAGGTGCCAGGATCTTGCCTTGGACTTGATATGAGTTTAGAATGTAGATAATCCTGTTGCATTAGTCGCCGTGGATGTCTCTGAAAGAAAGCATTGAGTCGAGCACCCAAGCAATCGATGCAGTCTTATAACGCGGAGTTAGCACTCGAGCAAGCACTCTTTCTAGAAATTGCCGAGCACCCGACTGCCATTCCGCTACTCGCAGGGCTCTGCGACCATACAAGCCGAGTCAACCTGAGGAACATTCAGAATTAATTTCACATGTTGTACGATCAGTCGCCATAGAAATACGTAAAAGCACGTTTTCACGGACTGAATTGTTCCGGCAGGTTTGCTATTCCGCGTTGGTCCGCCGCTTTACTGGGAACTTGTAAACCTAGCTGGTCGGCGGGCCGTCGCAGGCATGGCGGGATCGCTGTCAGGCGACGAGTTGGCGAACGGCAAGGCGCTGGTGCCGTTCCTGCAGCGCGCCGATGAGCTTCAGAAGCACGACCCGCTCGTCGCGTACTACTGTACGCGCGTTGTAACCCTAATCAAAAGGGCCCTCGTCCCCCACCGTGTTTCTTTCCCGTTAAGCGCGCGCCTCACCGACGCAGACGCTTCATCTCCGCGCGCCGTTGCCCCACGCCATGCACGCGGTGCTGCGGATGGGCGCGATAATACCGAAGAAAACAAAAGCAAAGAGAAGAACGCGTGATTTGAGTGCTTGTGCGTGCGTGGCAGGTCGGCTGTACGCGATGGACAAGGGGCTGCGCGTGCCCAGCAAGGAGCGCAGCCAGGCCGTGAACGCGCTGCTCGTCTCCATCATGGGCCGCCTCGAAAAGGTGCGCACTATGTAGCACCTCATGCGAATCTAGGCCTTTGCCCTGCGGCTCCCTTCCCTCCCTCGCCCACTGCGCAATGCCGACCCCCCGTACCCCTCCGTCGCGCCCCTTCCGCATAATCTGCTCCCGGCAGGACAAGGCGGCGCTGCAGCTGTCGCCTGACGACGGGCTGCACGTGGAGGGCTTCGCGCAGCGCGTCTTCGCCAAGGCGGACAAGCAGGACCGCGCGGGTCGCGCTGACATGTGCGTCGCGTGCTGTGGCGTGCCTTGGGGTGCTGGAGGCGCTGATAGGGCAGGCGCTGTTGTTATTCTGAAGGGGGTGCAATCTGTTGTGATGCTCATGGCGTGGGCAAGTGAAAGTGGGGTGGGGAAGGTGTTGGGCCGCTGTTATGGCAACGCATGGCGCCATGTGCTTGTGGTGCAATCCCTCTAACCCCAACCCAGCAACTACACTCACACGCTGTCTATGTTGCTCCATTCCCGCACACACTCCGTTACCCGATCTCAACGCATCCCCTACCCCCTCCCCTCGCCCCCGCGTGTGTCCCTCCCCAGGGGCACGGCCAAGACCTTCTATGCGGCGGGGATTTTTTTCGAAGTGTGTCGGCAGTTTGGGGAGCTCGCGCCTGAGGTAGGAAGGGGCAGCTCGCTCTCGTGCATTCCTTGGAACCTTTTGAGGATGGTCTTCCGGCGTAGGCCCCTCAATGACCAGGCTAGGCTCAATGCGTGCAACCCTTGCGCACACCTCAGCCACTGTCATCCCCTCCTGGCTCTTTCCCCCCCCCCCTCTCTCTCTCTCCCTCCTCCGCTCCTGACCACGGCACTCCGCCTCCGTGCCTCACCTCTCCCCACCTTCCCTTCCCCTCATTCCCTCTTCCATCTCCCTGTCCCCCCCCACTCGCCCCCTCGACCCCTCACGCTCTCTGCCCCACAGGTGGAGCAGAAGCAGCGCTATGCGGTGTGGAAGGCGGCGGACATTCGCAGGGCGCTGGCGGACGGCAGGCGCCCCACTCCCGGCCCGCCGGGGGGCGACGCCGATGCCGCCGCTGCTGCTCCCGCCGATGCTGCCACTGATGCATCAGCCCCTACCGTGGCCCCGCCTGCAGCGCCCTCGTTCCCCTCAGCCGACTCCCTGGATGCCATGTTCTCGGGCTCCTCCTCCTCCTCCTCCTCCTGCTGCTGCTGCTGCTGCTGCTGCTGCTGCTGCTGCTGCTGCTGCTGCTGCTGCTCCCAGCTCCTATGGTGCCAATGCTGCCCCAGCTGCCCCCACTGGCGCCAGTGCCACAGGCGGTGCTGGCAGGCTGCAGGTGGCGAGGCCGGTGGGAGGTGGGAGTGCTGCTATGCCCAACCCTCATGCTCGAGGAAGTCCGTATTCTCAGGGCCACGGGGACTACTCGCAAGCAACCCAGGGGCAGGCAGCACAGGCAGCACAGGCGGCACAGGCGGCAGAGGCATGGCAGCGGAGCACACCCCAGCCAGACAGTGCGTTCATCACCTCCCTTGCGGGCGCCCCGGCTACCTCTGCTCCCTCCCTGCCCTCCGCCCCCTCGTTCACCTCCCCACCAACCTTCACCCACTGGACTCCCGACTCTCACTACTCATCTGCCACGCCACCCACCACTGCCATCCCCTCCGCCCAGTCAGCCCCGCCAGCCCCAGGAGCAGGCGGGTGGGGCCAACCTGCTGCTGCTGCAGCGCTGGCTTACCAGCCAGCACAGGCAGCAGCAGCAGCAGCGGCGGCGGCAGCAGCAGGTGCCTTCACAAACCCCATGTTTGCCACTCCGCCTGCCCCCAATGCAGCCACTGGTTCTGCCCCTGCAGCCTTTTCCTTCATGCCAGGGGGTGCTACTGCTGCCAGTGCCAGCCCAGTCGTGGGGGCCGCGGGGGCTACATCAGAGGCACACCCATCGCAGGCGTCCCCACATTCGGCGTACGGTGGAGGTGATGGGGGTGTGGCGCCAAACGGAGGAATGGTTGGAGGAGCAAGAATAGGGCAGAATATTGCAGTGGCAGCAGCAAATGGGCCTACTGCTTCACCATCTGCAGGTAGCTTCTCAAGCTCTCAAGACCCAGGGCCTCGCGAGGTAGCGGATGCGCACAAGGCTGCTCGATACGCCGTGAGTGCGCTTGCGGGTAATGACGTTCCAACCGCTGTTGATTTTATCAGAAAGGCGTTGGCTTTGCTGGAGCCCGGTCGTGGCTATTAGGATGTAGAAAGTGGAATGTGTGTTTGGGGTAAAGCAATATATTGTTCATGGCACAACTATATTGTTAATGGCACAACCATAGCGCGGATTGGATGGCTTTCTGGTCCAGTGGGAGTGTGATCCAATCGACAGCTGTTGCGCAGCTGTGTGTTTGCCAATGGACCAACGAACGACACGCGTGGCGCTTGTGCTGAACGAATAGAAATTGTCTGCGGCGCGGCTACCTTCGTTATTTCACTAAAGGGGTGATCAAAGTACTGCATCGCTCGGCGAATCCTGACGGTTGGAGCATTTGATCCGAGGGTTGACATTCACCGACGTTCCTCGACGTCGAGGTGGTGCAGTACTTTGATCACCCCTTAAACGCCACGCCGCTCATCACCACAGGGTCAAAGGCTGACTCTGTTCAGGTGTTGCGTGGGTGACCCCCACCATCCGTCGAATATTTTCTTGTGTGCCCTTTCCTGAATCCTGCTCCACCAGTGAAAGATTGGCCGAACCAGTGAGGAAATCGCTGCCTGTCATGGCACTTGAAATCGAGTGAATGTGGATGTCCACACAACACCCTTTCAACGGGGCAAATTTCTCAAGGTTCCAGCCGCAAATCCTCCTTTCTCGTACGGCTGGACAACTTTTCCAAATCTCTCGAACCACGTGGAATTAGTTACCAGAAATGGTGATAGCATCACCCGGAACTTCGAAAATCCATTTCTCAAGTGATTCTATTGTTCCACTCTATTACACCTGATGCCTGATTGAGCCCCTCCCGGTTGCCTTGTGAAGGGGGCGTATAAGCTGTATCGAGCATTTCGCATAAGTTTCGTCAATTCGCAGCTAGCTAAAAAGGACTCGCAGGTGCTTATATAATGGATCTGTAACCACATCCGTTGACATTTTGACTTCAGTCTCTTCAGTTTGACTTCGGTCTGTTCGTTACTATTGGTTCATAACCACGCGACGCGCTTGTAACGTGGGTGCAACAGGCTGGGGAAAAAACCTCGGGTGCAGCGTTTCCATCCGGTGCAGAGCAAATTCGCGTGCATGGGGTGGGCATCAGCTGTACGTAATGTATCCATTCGGCCTGGTGTGAAATGAAAATGTAGGGCAGTCCAGACCTGACTTCTGTCATCAGCATGACTCCTCGCATGTCGATTCACTCCGCGCAATGCACCTCGCAATGCTCCACACCTGACCAGATTCCCCACAAACAGTGGTCCACTGTGTCCCTCCTCCCCCTCAGTCGTGCACCGTACGGATGTCTGCATTGGGGTTGTGGAAATTACAGGTCTTTGTTATCTTCACTCCCCAAAATCATCAGTTTCCACTGTTTCCGTGTAAAGTTGACCAATTAGGCATGGCAGAAACCAAGGCCTCACCGCATTTCACGGCGTCGCTCGACACTTATGTGTTGCGTCCGTTGCAGCGCGCTTCGTCCATCATGGGGTCGGGCGAGCTTTGGCAGCGCGCTGCCGACATGGATGAAATTGTCCTCTACAAAATTTCAGAAGGAAAAAAGACTGCAAAAGCATTTTATGGGGACTGCTTGATGTTTTTTCCTGCCACCAATGCTCGTGGTTTATCATGTGAAATGCTAGAGCAATCTTCACGCTTGAGCTTTGTTTGAGGAATGATTGAAAGGTTTGCATGAGCAATCTTGACCAGGCTCGGCAAGCAGTGCACCAGCCAACGACCAGCATTGCTCATCCTCACTACAGCAAGCAAAACAAATCATTTAGGCGCCTTTAATAACGGATTAATTTTCACAGTACACTCAGCTTATCATAAACTAATTACGAAAAAAGAGAAAATGCAAAATTGGTAGGTACTATTATAATCGTAAAAGCATGACACATGAATTATCTTCTCTGCTAGGAACTGTAAGTATTGGTAGTACTTATATTTCAATACTTCTATTTCAACGCAACCTCACGTCAATAACAACCATTACTACAATACCTGGTCGGCCTTACCAATTAAACCCCAACATCCTAGATACCGCGTACAACATCCACACACAGCACAATTATCATGCAATAATGAACACAGTAGCTCATTTCGACCAGGAAGAGATTCTGCACCCAGTAGCACAAGCAGCAGAGTTAGGTCCACACAGCAAAGGTTAACAGAGATGCACCTACGAATCAGTCATGCCCTTAATATGCCTGGAAATGCACTGCTGGGCGGCCCTGAAGGAACCGCGATGAACTTTGCAATAATCTGGCGATAAATCTTCCGGAAGATATTAAAAATTTGGCGACAATATTCTCGAAGGCTTGACGATAATCTCGGAAGTCGCTGGTATAAGCGTTGTCATGCGCGCTTGTATTCTGCAACAACATAGGTGCTTGCATTAGCCAAAGCGTACTTGCCTGGAACATAAACTCACCTGAATGAGCACACAACCGGACCAGCGTCAAAAGGTAGCGTCATCGCAAGTTTCATGCAGCCTGGGCGAGTTTCACAGCTGAATCGTCCAGCACAACGGTTTTTTTTTATCCTGCTGGAGGGAGGATGTAGGAACAGATTAAAGAACATAAGTTAGCAATGTGAACGTAAGGAACGAACGGATAGACTGCAGCAGCCATTAACTCGTGCAATCTGAGCGAGGAAAACAGATAGAAATACTGGAGTGAAATAGAAAGTGCCTGACTGTGGAAGATTATGAGTTGTGAGAGAGAGGCGTGTTGAATGGGGTGCTGTTGTGTGGTGCTGGGTCGCACGTGAAGATTGTCGAAATGTTGGCGACTTAGTTCGCGAGGTCGTCAAAACTGGAGTCGGTTTGAACGTACCGCTCATACGGATTCAGAGGCATCATGACGATGCCTAGCGAAAAAATTGGAAACCCTACCTTGTGAGCTTCAGTTCGCCCAGACTAGTCCAAATCCCATACGTGCTGTCACACCAGATCGTGACAACGCACCTTCACAAGTGACGCGGTTTCCTGACACGTCAGCAAAACCTTATCTGACAAAAAATGTCGCTATAGTCTGCTCTGTTATAACGCCACAAAATTTCCTTCGACCTGAATTCTGTTTTTAGTTTCGCGCAAGCTCGAAACCACCGTACATCCAACACAACCGAAGTAAAAACGCTGTACCAATCCAATTTGGCACGTGCGGGGTGAGTTGGGTGCGAACCTGCTGGCGGCTGCAGAGACAATGGGGAAGGGGGTGCATTGTTCACCAATTTTTCAGCATAGGTTCTGCACTGCTAACCCTCGTAAACACTGTTTCTAGTGACCTCAGCCATTGCTCGTGCAATGGACAGTGCGCAAGGATGGGGGAAACCCACATTTGGGCATGGGATGTGGCGTTCCACATTTTGTAGAGTCGCACAGACGCACGAAGGCTCTGTCGCGAGCACCGCTGCGACGACGAATGGAGGGGCTGCGACAGGGAAGAAGTGGAGCGTGATGGGATCGACGGCGCGCAAGGTGCAGCGGATGCTGTTTGCCGACAAGTCAGACAAATCCGCGGTTTCTATCGCAGACAGAAAGTCCAAGCGCCTGCTGCCGTCGCCGTCAGGAGCGCGCCGAACAGGATTTGAGTTTGCGGGTCGGCAGCTGTCGCGTGGAGAGCGCCGAGAGCGTTGTGGATGATGGCGGAGAGGACGGCGCGGACCTTGGCCGACGACGCGCCTCGTCACAAAATTCCTGCCCCAAAAAAGTGTCCTCAAAGTGTGTTCAAACATGCCTCAAAGTATGCAACACGGGGCATACTTGTGACATTAAGTTGATCATTTCTGGGGGAATGGTGCTGCATACCTCGTGCATTGTTTTAAGAAACCCTCATCTCGCTACGAACACTGCTTTCCGCCACTAGGGGATCCAAGACAAGGGGTCACTCGTTTCTGTATAACGACGTGTAACAGTTGTGTACAGTAAAAACCACCACGTTTAAGAATATTTACGTGTTATTTGTATAGGTAAGATTTGTGATCATGCCATCAATCTTTATAAGAACTTCCACTCATTATAGGAAGCCTTTTGTATAGTCATATCTGTCTACCAACAGCATGACGTGTCACTACATGAGGTTTTAAAGTTGTTTATTATTGGTTATATAAAACCAGAATTACCCAGCAGTCACACATGCACAAATCAAACACGAAACATCAGAGGTGCTTGTTGCATCCGACTCTACAGTACAAAGCCTACAATAACAAGCTCTTAGAACCAATGCGCCATCCAACCTACCCCGGTCAAATGCAGGGGGAGATGAGGAGCCTCTATCAGCAGTGCAGTATCATTGCAAGAGAAAGAGCCCATCACTGCCGTCCCCTCTGCTTCCACATCCCTCATCATTGCCTCTCCCTCTGCTCCCTCATCTCCCTCGTTGCTACCTCCCCCTCTCACATTCCCCCCATCTCTGCCTCCCCAACTGCTCCCTCATCCCCTCACCTACTGCTCCCTCATCCCCCCATCCTTGCCTCCCGGACTGCTCACCCATCCCCCCATCGCTGCCTCCCCCACTGCTCCTGCTTTCCCCCCATCAATGCATCACCCTTAGGTGCCGCATCCCCCTTATCGCTACCTCCCCCGCTGCTCCCTCCTTCTCCTCGTCGCTACCTCCCCCAACGCTCCCCCACTCCCCCCCCGTCACTGCCTCCCTCACTGCTCCCCCATTCCTGTCACTGCCTCACCCACTGCTCCCCCATTCCCCCCATCGCTGCCTCCCCACCCTGCTCCCTCATCCCCCCCATCGCTGCCTCCCCACCCTGCTCCCTCATCCCCCCCATCGCTGCCTCCCCAACCTGCTCCCTCATCCCCCCCATAGCTGTCTTTCCCACCTGCTCCCTCATCCCTCCCAACACCACATCCCCCTTGTTGCCAAATCCCCCTCATCGCTGCCTCCCCCGCTGCTCCCTCATTCCCCCCAAAGTTGCCTTCCCCGCTGCTCCTTCATCTCCCCCGTTGATGCCTCTCCCTTATCGCTTCTTCCCCCTTAGATGCCTCAGTGGCCCCGTAGCTGCCTCATTCCCCTCGTCGCAGGAGACTGATTCAATAAAACCAGTCAACGAGGTTCAAATACAAGTTGAAGAGCTGATACTGAAGAGAAAAGGGTGGTTTGGGGGGGAAGAAGGGGGAGGAAGAAAGTGGGAAGGGGAGGGGAGGCGGGGGGGAGGTATTGAGATGGGATGAGGTATTGAGTAGGCATGCGATGATAGAGTGAGTAGGGAACGGCAAGGGTGACAGGACAGTGAGAAATGGGTGATACGGGAGGGTCTTACAGGTGCTGGAGGTGAGGGAGAGTGTTAAGGTGAGGTGCGGCAAGGTGAGGTGGGTGTTGGAGACGAGTGAGGGTATAGCGGACGGCAAGGAAGCCTTCAAACGAGTTGTCCAACTCATTCCTGTGCACGTACACAAGGGGATATATGAAGGAGAAAAACCTAGAAAACATGTTAAGAAACAAAAGAGAGAAGATCGTCAGCGCGTCGGTGGATGACCAGGCGATTTTGCTGAAGGGGAAGTGGGCGGGTCGACGAGAAGAAAGTGAGGAGGGTGGCCGCAGGAGGACGGGAGGGTGCACGCGCACATATGTATCGAGCGCAACCAAGCGAGGACTCTGCGCTCTCCGCAAGCCGCTGAAAATCTAAGGCGGAGTTGAGACATTCCAAAAACTAATCTACTTGTACGAAAAAATCTGGGTTGCGAGGGGTGTTCAAGTGGGGTGTTTTCAAGCGCGGCTGGCAGTACGAGGTCGGCTAATAAGCGAACGGCAAGCGAAATGCGGCTAGCAGTGGTACAGGGTGGGCTTAGCGAACAGTTGATTGTAGTTCGGTGCGGCACAGTAAACAGGAAGCGACGCTAGCAAATCTGGCGGACGAGCGATACAAAAAAAAAAAGGTGAAAACTACGCTCACGCTTTCAAGGGAAGCATGGTGGGTCTTAGTTTTTGCGTGGTCTAGTTGCTCGGTTGAACAGGTTCCTCTGCATGCACACAAGGGTGTAATTTATCGAGAATCGTAACAAACCACCGCATTCAAGGGAGAGTTCAGAGACGTCGTAAACATTGCGCCATTGCTCCAAGTCCTGCCGCCATACGCTCACGCGCGGAAGCACAGGTCAGCGAGATGCATGACTGCCCCTCACCTCGATGCATCGCTGCAGGTGCTGCAGGTTCTACTCTATTCTCGCCGCATAGCCTCGTTGCTGCGCAACAGCTGCTCCGTGCGCTCCACCATGCGCTCCTCCCGCGCTGCGTCGAGCGCGCGGATCTCGCCCTCGCCGATCACCCCCACCAGCTACCCCGACGGGTCCAGAAATGGGCGTGTCCGTCACCTGCGAGGTGGCGCGTACGGGGAGCAGACTGTGAATACTGCATGATGCAGCAGAGAGGCGATTAAGTGGCGGCGGGGGCTGGGAAGGCGGGGCGGGTGCGGAGAGTCATGGGTATGGAGGGAATGTGGTATGGGAGGTAGCGCGCAGCAAGGCTCGGAAGAATAGCGCGCACCAGGGCGTGGGTAACTCTCGCACCATGGCGGGGAAAGGCGAAGGCGAGCCGTCTCTGCGAGTGACAAAGAACTCGCCAGTCCACACCTCCCCCTTGCTGAGCGCCCCGAAACTGATCGTTCCGACGTACAAAATGACAGGAAATCACCTGGCACACGATCAGAAAATCTCGCGAATGTGAGACAATCCATTACTAATTTACTTGAACGATGTTTTTTTGGATTGCGAGGGGTGCTCAACTGGGTCCGTAATCCATGAAAGCGGCAGTAAGCGCGGCGTCTGATGAAAGGAGAGACGATTGAACCGGGACATCGAATAGCGCGGACGAGAGTCGGGCTGCGTGCAAACAGACGCAGTGCCGCGCCGAGGTGGAAGGGCGCAGCGAGAGAGGAGCAGCGTGAGGTGCGGCTGGCAGTACGCGGGCGGCCAAGCAAGCGACGACTCGTCGCTTTGTCGGACAAAGCTGGCGGACGAACAAGAATATAAAATATGTTACGGCGCTCCCGCCTCAAGAAAATCACTGACATTGGTGGATCTTATTTCCCGAAAATTGCATACCAGCGTTCGCGGTGGTCTTGTTCGATTTGCGCTTTCCTAAATCAACGACGGCTACGAGTAGTGGAAAAAGAAACCAGACTCAAGAAAATTAGGGAAAGTATATCCCCGCTCCTGACTTTCAGATTTCTCTCATATTCAGCCCTAGGTTTACTCAAAAAGCACCACTTTCTAGAATTTCTCTCACGCGAGGCCCAAAGTATGTTCAAAAGTGGTCCTGCGGGGCGATTTTTTCGACACGTGTCCTCTTGTTACACCATCTGACGAACTTCCACGCATGGAAAATTTGGACGGGGGCAAAAAACATAAAACCCCTAGAGAACCAGGACACATTCGCGGGAGGGATCAACCCTAAACACCTAGCAGGTCCCGTGTTTAGGGTTGCTCCCTCCCGAAAATGTGTAATGGTCCTTTAGGGGTTTTATGTTTTTTTGTCCCGTAAAAACTTTTCCGGCGCGAAAATTGCCCTGACAAACGGTTAGTTCAGAGTGGAAGTGCGTCAGCTGGTAACAAAACGACACGTGTCTAAAACCTCGCCCCGCAGGACCAGTTTTGAACATACTTTGGGCCTCGCGTGAGAGAAATAATGGAAAGTGGTGCTTTTTGAGTAAACCTAGGGCTGAATATGAGAGAAATCTGAAAGTCAGGAGCGGGGATAGACTTTCCCAGAAAATTATGAATCTTGTGTGAATTTGATCGACTGAAATAGGTTGAGGAGATGAGACTCAGTGCGTGGTTCGAAAGCCCAGACCCACGGTCGGTGCACAGAGATGAAGTATCATGCGCGAAAAGATTTGAAAATGCTACGCTGTAACATGCTGGCGCGTACCATGTGATTGTCCTGCAAGGCTGGACGAATTCACGGTGTAACCAGTTGCACATGACAAAGAGGGTCGTGTCATTGACGTCGCAGCAGGCTGCACCTGAGAAATGCCAATTTTGTCGGCGAAAATATCTAGCACGCGTTGTGATGTCACTGTACACCAGCCCCGACCTGCCTTAGGTTTGGCATGTCCGGTTTGGTTCAGTACCCGCCTAGTTGCTGGTGCCACGAGCCAAGGTGAGGAAAAGTCCAAAAGAACGAAAAAAAATTCGTAAGTATTGCATCGAGAGCGAACTTTACACTAACACGAGTCTGTCTTTAATCTGCCACATGCTGTTTCTTCTCTACTGAGGATGGCTCCCTTTGTCGTATCGGAAACACAACCTTCGTAGCGTAGCTCCCTGCATGATGGGACATAGTTGGCGCACAGCTCACGTAGGATACCTAAAAGAGTGCTACATTTGTGGGCATGTTTTGGGGCCAGGAATTTTGTGACGCTCGTTTCAGCACCTGGCGATCGATTCTTATCATTTCGAAATGGTTGGACGGGAGGCGACGAGCGTGAACGAGCGGGAGGATTCGGAACCCGGCGGCGCGGATTCAAGGCGCCGTGCGGATTGTGATCTTCCAGAGGGGCGTGCGGAAGGCGTCGATTTCATTTCGTTGTCCCAGCGCTCGACGAGTGCGACGAGTGCGACGGGTGTACCAGCGGGCGTAGAACGGCCTTGTTCGGTGAATGAACACTCAGCATCGCCGCCCGAAATAAACATCCCCCACGGCACAGTCGCGTCCGCGCTGCCCCGGCCTGCGCGCCCGCAGACAGCCCCCAGCAAGAGCGCCGCTTCCCCCCGTCACTTCGACGCGCGTGATCCCATTTTTTCCCGACGCAAGACCGCGCCAGTAGCTCCTGCCGTGCTGCGCGAGTCGGGTGCTGCCTCGGGCGACGTCGAGCCGCAGCTCGCCGACGAGCCGTTTCTCGCCTCTGACTTGGATTGGTCAAGCGCCGCGCTCGCCCTTGTCAATGGCATTGACGCGGCCCCTGCGCCGCTACCATCCCCTGTCGTTCCCCGCCCCCCCAGCAGCGACGGAGTGGGGAACAGAAGTGGCAGAGTGAGGGCGGGAAGGGGGACGCGCGCGGGCGGAAGGGCGGGGGAAGGGCTTCGAGTGGATGTGGCAGGCAGGCGCCATCGGTCGCGGCACAGTGACGAGCTGGCGTGGGCGGAGGCGCTAGGGGGGCATGTGCTGTCGCGGAGCAAGACAGCGGAGAGAGAGGCGGGCGCAAGGGGGCGTGAAGGCAGGGAAGGGGCTCGTGTGGGGAGGCATCACCACCTGTCAGCGTCTTGGGACTGTGAGGGGGGGTCTCGCATGGCGTTGGAGAGGGGAGAGAAGGGGGTGATCTAGGCTCCTCATTGGGTAGAGAGCTTGGATGAAGCAAGTTGGGGGAGTGTTTCGGGAAGGGAAAGGCCAACCTCATCAGGAGGGAGGGTGCCTATCACTGCCGTGAGCCCACGGGTGCCTGTCACTGCGGTGAGCCCTCGGGTGGTGAGGTTCAATTTCAGGCAACACATGCAGCAGGTAGCACTCGCTGCAGCAAGCGATGAATTGGCCCAATAGGGGTGATTACTTATAATCCAGCTGGTTTGCTCTACCGTATGTGTTGCTAGTTGTCCTTGGTAGTAGTTGTTTTCTATATTTAGGTGACTTCAGGCCTAATTTTTTGTAACGATGCTTACAGCCCGACGTGCTTCGTTACTAAAGCGATCGAAACGAAAATCGTGTGGAACTCGCTAGGGGCCTCACTAAACCGAAGTTTATCGTGTAGTTCGTCAAGTCGCAACCCCGCCCGTCGTCCCACAATCGAACGGTTGAACGCCATTCGCCGCAATCAAGTTGATCACACCCTTCCGCTCGTAGGTCGTCGTCCCTTGGTTCCAACTTCCATCTCAGGACGCGTCAACTCCCAGCACTTTGGGCACATCGATCCTCCGTAGGATCGATGTGTCATATGTACAGTACATTCACGAGCTAGCGAAGTGTCGTGTTGCCAGTTTTCGCCATATTTCGCCATTGCACAGTAAATCTGCCATTAGTCCCGATGTCCCCTCCGGATCTCGGGACACCTTGCCACCTGCCACACACTGATCGTGGCATTTCGGTGAGCGGGAGCTACAATCGCGCGCTAGTTGACAGCCGCGATCGATCGGCGTCGCTCATGGGTCCGAGCGACACATGCCAGAGTCGCAGCAACGACAAAACCAGCCACCCTGCAAAATCACTTCTGTACACGCAGACCACAAGCTAGAAACCGCCAAAACCAATCCCGCCACAAAAACCAGTAACAAACATCCGCGAAAACCCAAGTCAAGTCGCACAGACACTGTTGGGAGTGTCAATTTGCGATGGCATGCGAAGGCGGATTTGCAGCATGCGACAGGCCAGCCCAGCACACCGATCCTGCAAATTTCCCTAGTCAAGTGGGGCTCGATGGTAGGGGTACACTGCCGAATTGCAGGTGGAGCACACTGGTGTGCACACCGATCCTGCCAAGGTCGGTGTGCACAGCCGATCTTGCCTCGATCCTGCTAGAGTTCTGGGAGTTGACGCGTCCTCAAGCGACCCTCGATTCTATCCAGTCTATCAACTCCTGTTGCCCTGCTCGCACCTTATCCAATTGCCGGCGAGTTCGGACTGGGAATGAAGAGCCGAAGCAGATCGATTATGCTGCGAGACTGGTCACGGATAATGCTTGGAGAGAACGAAAACTGATACTTGCCGCAGCAGCTGTGTCAAAGCCATGATCCATCAAAACGGATAACTCAAGAGTTTTTTTCTTTTTTGTGTGCACGTCATTTGTTCCGCTACAATGATTCCAACCATGCTCTTTGCATAACTAGCCCTGCTCGCTCCAGCACTAGGACCTAGAACTCTAGAACGCGAAGGAAACGCGCGCCGCCGCGTTGATGGAACGGCCGCGAGGAAGCCTCGAGGACTTGAGTGTCGCGGCGCCATGCTCGCCGGGCGCGGACTACCACTCCGCGCCAGAGCTCAGAGGCCGCGCTTCCACGCCCGCCTCTGCGCCCAGCGCCAGCGCGAGATTTCACGTCTTTGACGGTTTGGAGCCTGACCGGTTGGAGACTGACCGGTTGGAGAATGGCCGGTTGGAGCCCGGCGACTGCAGCTTGAGCGACGGGGAAGGAAGCGAGTCGCAGGCTTTCCTCGCCGCGTGTTCGCCGCCGCAGTGAGTGATCCCGCCGCCTCTGCTCGAATCTCTTTTTTTTTAGAGAAGACGTTCCGCGATCCAAACCGCGCTATTAATCAGCTTTAGGGTTAAATGGGAGGAATAGCGGCTTGGTGCGGTTTGGACGGAAGAGACGCGAATGAAATCTTTGCATGCGTTTCGTACTCATGAATCGTGTCGTGTCACGTGGGCCGTTTCAAACCGTGCATGTGATTGATTCGAACCCCTCACGCGTCCAGCGCAGGACGAGGCGATGACTCGCGGGCCGTGTCATCGTGGTCACAGCCGCGCAGGTCCCGGCCGTCGCCACGGCACGCGCGGAGCAGCAGCGGGGGCGGCAGCGGGTGGGGCGGCAGCGGGTGGATATGCAGCGGGTGGATATGCAGCGCGTTGGATCCCAGCGGAGCGGCGTGCTGTTTGGTGGAGCCGTGCCGCGCCATCTGCTCGCCCAAGTTCTTCTGGCAGGTCACGTGCCTTCCTCACATCGCCCTACTCACGTGCCCTCCTCACATCGCCCTCCTCACATCGCCCTCCTCACATCGCCCTCCTCACATTGCCCACTTAAGGCTGCATTTCGTACGGCTTGCCACTCATGGGAGTGACGAGGGAATGGGGTCCCATTCTCCCATTCTCTCCCCCTCTCCCCCCTTCGCCCGCTCGCTCGGTGCAGCGCAGGTGGCGTCAGTGGCGCAGTGGTGCACGTTCAACATCATCATGATTCTCGTCAACAACGAGATCTTCCAGGTGCCCACCACTCACCTCACTCCCCTCCATCACTTCGTGCCTATCGTGTTTGTCTGTCTCTCCACTCTACCCCTCCTCATTCCCCTCTGCCCCTCGGCCCCTCATTCCCCTCTGCCCCTCGGCCCCTCATTCCCCTCTGCCCCTCGGCCCCTCATTTCCCTCTGCCCCTCGGCCCCTCATTCCCCTCTGCCCCTCGGCCCCTCATTTCCCTCTGCCCCTCGGCCCCTCATTCCCCCACTGCCCCTCGGCCCCTCATTCCCCTCTGCCCGTCGGCCCCTCATTCCCCGCTGCCCCGCTGCCCCTCTGCCCCGCTGGCGGTCTGCGCCCCGCACCCTCGTCCCCCCTGCCCGCTCCCCCCCCCACTGCAGCGGTACGGCTTCACCTTCCCGCTCACGCTCACCGCCATCCACTTCGCGCTCTCATTCGTTGGCGCCTTCACGGCCATTGAGGTCAGTTGTGCTTTCACGGCCATCGAGGTCAGTCATGCCGTTTGCTCCCCCCTCCGCCCACCCACTCTTGCCATTTGACCTATGCCATTCCTTTTAGACCCAACACGTCAGTCGCCTCTCACAGCCTCTTGCCTCGTGCCGCGAACCGAGCCCTCACCGCCTTCCTGCCATGCTGTGCATCCTGCATGCGCCCTGCGTCCACTAATCCACCAGCTGACCCACACAGCAGCAGTGTGAGCCCAGACTGCCATGGGTCATGCCCAACACGCTTCCAAGGTTTAGTAAAATCAATCATAACCGCAAACACTCACTTCCTCCCTGCCATGCCGTCACCCCATCGCCCGCCCCTCGCGGTGCGGCACAGATCCTGCAGGTGTGTCCCAAGGCGGCGGTGGAGGCGGGGGAGATGGTGGCGTGGGTGATGCCCATGGCCGTCGTCACCTGCTTCAACGTCGTGCTCGGCCAGCTCTCCCTGCGCTATGTGCCGCTGCCCGCCCTCCTCTCCACCAAGGCCCTCTCGCCCGGCCTCACAGGTGTGTGCGCCTTACAGTTGCAACACCAGATGCTTCCATGCACACAGCTTGTTCCTTTCCTTCACTTCCACATCTCGCCTCCCTTTACCCCTCCCAGCCCGCCAACCCCTGACTTCCCTCCCTCTCCTCTCCTCCCACACACATCTTCCCCCTTTCTCCCCACTCAGTGGCCATCCAGGCGCTGGCGCTACAGGCGGACTACGACTGGCGGCTGTGCCTCTCATTGCTGCCAGTGATGGCGGGCGCCATGCTGGCCTACGCGCCCTCCGTGCACTTTGCGCTGCCCACGTTCCTGTCGGCGCTGTGCTGTGTGGTGCTGGGCTGTGCCACGGTCATCTGTGCCGAGGTGCTGCTCAAGGGCAAGCAGTACAGCCTCGACTCCCTCAACGCTGTGAGGCCCCACCCACCCACAATCTCCCTCGCCCTTGCACCTCATCATTTCTGATCTGAGTCGACTACAAGTGCTGCTCAAAGGCAAGCAGTACAGACAGCCTCGACTCCCTCAACGCCGTGAGACTTCTCTCCCAATCTCCCACTTCGCCACCCCCTGACTTCCCTCTCCTCTCCTCCCTGTCCTTACACTTGGTGTTTTTCTAGTTGACTCAAACGTCGCCCAGGTGCTGCTCAGAGGGACGCAGGTCAACCTTAACTCAAACAATGCCGCCCCTCCCCTCCCCCCCTCCCATTAAATCTCGCCCCCATCAGCTGTACCAGCTGGTGCCCTACTCGGCGCTCATCCTCGCGCCGCCAGCAGCGGTGCTGGAGGGGTGGCAGCTGTGGGGGTGGTTCGTGGCTCAGGCCAACCCCTGGCCCGCTGTCATCGCCATCCTCATTAGTGGCTGCTTCGCTTTCTGCCTCAACTTCTCCCTGTTTTACACGATCCAAAAGACCAGGCAAGTCAGCCCTTCCAGCAGCGCCCTTGCAGCTTCGCATGCCACCACTGCCCTCAAGCCACAGCACCTTGTGTGGTCAAATACTCATGATTCCCTTGTGTGGTCAAATACTCATGATCCCCTTGTGTGGTCAAATACTCATGATCCCCTTGTGTGGTCAAATACTCATGATTCCCTTGTGTGAGCCACTCAAGTCACTTGTCTGTTTTCCTCCCACCAACCCCAAGCACACCACATATTCCCCACCCCACAATTGCATGAACTGTTTCTCCCCCACTCCCATTCCCCCCCCCCCCCCCCCCCCCCCCCCCCCCCCGCACCTCTGCCCATGCCCCCCATGGCAGTGCGCTGACGTTCAATGTGGCGGGCAACCTGAAGCTGGTGATCACACTCGTCTTCTCCTGGCTGCTCTTCCGCACGCCCATGGCGCCCATCAGCCTGCTTGGCTGCCTGCTGGAGCTCGTGGGGGTGGTGTGCTATGGCTGGGCCATCTTCTCCTTGCGCAAGCGGCAAGTGGAGATCATGAGATCGCCCTCGGCGCAGGTTAGGGTGGAGCAGGAGGCGAGTGATGATATAGTGCAGGTGTATCTAGGAGCTATGCTGTAACAGTTGCTGCTCTGTAAGTCTAGAGTTTCGCAACGTTGTAGAAATGAGAATTCTAGGTTGTGCTGTATGATATATACGGTAGTAGTCAGGTGTACAGCAATCTGGAGTTTCTCAATAGTTTTTCTTGATAAAGCCTGACTCCGTAACCTCCATTCCGCATGCACAAACCATACAGTGCAGCACACAAGCTTCCGGACCAGAAGAAGTTGCGGTTACATGTCAGCGGGTGCCAGCTCCGGCATCGCTTGTCGTTCACTTGCCGAGTCTCACCGACTGCCAAACGGACAAGCGGCTCACGTTGCTGACTGTACTTGCAATGCGAGGCGCTGGCGAATGAGATTCGGCGGACGGAAGTTACAAGGAGTGCTTGCCGCTGTCGCGCGTGGTGCGCCATTGGCCTTTCGTTCCATCGCACCTTCCAGGATACATCCCCCGCACAGCGCGCCGAGCACGACTTCCGCACAGCACCGCACAGCACAACACATACAGTACACGCGGAAGTCGCGTACCACTGCCAGGCTCACGCAAGTGTCGGTTGCTAGTCAAGGAATTTCTTCGCACGGATGAGATGTGGAGTGTTGAAATTGGGAAAAGTGACACACTCCTCTCGGGCTGGTACTGTGTGGCAAATGAGAACTGGAGCTCTTGCTACTGCACTTCATATTTCGCATGAATTCTAATCGATTTACTTTGGCGGAAGCTAGCGAAGCCTCCCAACTCTACAGATGGCATCGGCGGAGGTGATACGGGTTAGCGAGTGCAAGGCGGCAGTCGTCGCTAGACTTCGGAATCTCGACGCTGCGGAATGGGGAATGCTGTGGGAGAACGCGGCGGCGGCGGACGAGGAGGAAGAAGAGCCCTTGGAGCAAGTGCCGCACAGCGCGCCGTTTTCTCTGTCAAGCCCCATCATGGCAGGCGCTGCGGGGACGATCAGCGCGAGGCGAAGCTGGGCGTGGCGCGAGAAGGTGAGGTCGTTCGGCCGGCAATTCTTGCCGCGGCGCGGCAGCTGCGACGACCTGAACGTCGCGATTACGACGGTTACGGTAACGCAGGCGAAGCGAGCAAAGTCGTTTCCGGAGTCCAACGAGCGCGGCAACGAGAAGGGCCCCAGGGCCGGGCGATCGCGGCGCGTGGACAGCCGAGGCGTATGGCGGAGCGTCTACGAGCCGAGGTGGCTGGAGGAAGGGCTGGCGGAAACCTCTGGAGACCACGAACGGCGCGCGCACGGCGTGATTCGCGACGGGATGGGAGTGCGCGACGATACGGCGCAGCGCGCGGCGGATGCACGGGCTGTCGCGGGGGGAGAGGGCTCGGCGCGCTACCAGCTGCTGCGACATAACTCCCTTCCCTGCGCGTGCGCGTCGCAAAAGGTTTCGCCGACCCTACCGCGACGCGCGTCGGCGATGCATGTCGATGGCAGCGCTGAGCATTCTGCTCGTTCCGTCGCAGGAGCGAAGGAGCAATTGCCGTCGTCGTCGTCATCGTCGCAGCACAGGCGCACCCCGTCTCTGCTCGTCATCCCCCCATTCCTCCCCTCCTGCCTCCCCTCGCCCTCGCCCGTTGCCGCTCCCTGCCGCACTGCCCCCGCCACGCCGTCTCCCCTCACCAACACGCTCCGCAATGACTTCGCCACCGCTTCGGAATGCAGCCCCACCGACGGCTGCAGAGACGCTGACGGCTCGCCTGCTGCTTCCGCTGGCAGCGGTGGCGGGAAGCGGAGCAGTGGAGCAAAGCGCGATGGGCGCACGACGCGAAGAAGCCCCGCAGAAGGGCGGACTCTTTCGAGCGGCACACCAACAGAGGGCGGGCAGTCGGGCGCGAAATGGCGGTCCGGTGAAAGAGGATGGCGGCAAAACATTCTGAATGCGTTGAGTAGCCCGAGGAAGCACGTGAAGGACGTTTGAGAAAGAAGCTCGCGTGAATCGCGTTGCTATGGACAATGTGGGTTCGGTGCTAGAGCAACCGCTACCCGAATGAATAAATATCCGTAATGTATGTCCGTATATAGAAGAAAATTGTAAATGATGTATCACATCGACAACTAATCGCGTCCTTCCAAAACGAGTCACCAACTACCTTGGCCAACCTTGTTACATTTTTTAAATTGGTAACTGTTTTGCGCCTTCACACACTGCCTGTTCGCCGCTTCGGTAAACTGCGGTCGCGGAAGCATGGCGTCACTCGTCATTACGGCACGCTGCCAACGCCACTAGCTGAGGCCATGCTCTCAGTTTCAGGGTAGTTGGCGTAGCGACATTCACAGCTTTCTCCAAATCCGCGATACAATGACGGCGGCGGATGATGACGGGGATTTAGTGTAGAATTGACGCCTCCTGCGCGCATCTGCACAGCACCCACCACCTTCAACGCACCCACCGTGCGCACAGCACTCACAGCACTCACAACACTCACAGCACCCACAGCATCCACAGCACCCACAGCACTCCCAGCACTCACAGCACTCACAGCACGCACCGCACTTACTGTACTAACCACATCGACCCACCGCGTCGAGCCTCGATCATGGCGACGCCGCGACTCACGGCGAGGCCGCCGTCTCCGTTCGTTCCGGCTGGCAAGAGCGGATTGTGCTGCAAGTGCCACGTGGCGCGCGTGTACGCGCTGATGGTGTTCATCAGCCTCCTCGCGCTGATGCTCTTTCTCCTCGTGCCCTGGGCCGCGTCGCACGGCGCCATCCGTGCGACTGCTGGCGACGCTGTCGCTGTCGCAGAGGCAGGAAGCGGAGGTCGTGTGCGAGGGAGGGGCAGGGGTCCGCAGCGCGAGCGCGGGGAATCGTTGCATTTTGGGGGGAATGGGGGGATTGCGGAGAGCGCAATGCGCATGGGCGGAGAGCAGGCTGACATGATTCAAGCGAAGGCAGTGACCATGGCGGACGCTGCTGACGCTGAAGCTAGTAGCGAGACTGCTTTCAAGGGAGATGAGGCGTCGATGGGGGGAACAGGGGCTGGGGAGGAGATGGAAGAGGGGGAGGAGAGAGGAACCGATGGGGGAGAGGCGGAGGGAAATGGGGAAGCAGGGCAGGGAGGGGAAGGAGAGGAGCGAGGAGGAGGGGGAGGGGAGGTGCCGATGCCTCTGCGGGTGTACATGCTGCCACTGACAGGCGAACTCAACTTCCACGTGCTGCTGGTATGACCACACGCCACCCCACAGTATTGCACAGCACACACCCTTCCTTCTCTTCTTATCACCAGCCCCCATGCCTCCCCATGCCATGCGCCACTGTGAGCGCCCACCATACCCACCTCCTCCCTTTCCTCCGCGCCCACCCTTCCCCCACACTCTGCCTTCCATCTCCCCCTTCTCTCCCCACGTCCCGTCAACAGCAACGGTGGCGCTTTGCGAACCGGTGCAGGTGGCGGTGCGGCACGGCATGGCGGCGGACTGGCAGATCAAAAGCAACTCGCTGCGCCCACGGGCGGACGGCGACGTGGTGGGAGGGGTGGTGCAGGACGACGGGTGGGTGGAGGACGGCCAGGGGGAGGGCGGAGGGGGAGGCGGAGGAGGGGGTGGAGATGGGTCGGTGCAGGTGCCGCAGTTTGTGGAGGGGTTTGGGGTGCACATAGAGCAGTATGCGGCGGAGTACTGGCTCACGCTCTCCCTGCTCGCCGGTGGGCTGCCCTCCGTGCAGCGCGTGCGGCGGGCAGAGGACGCCCACATCATCTTCGTGCCGGCCTTCTCCTCCGCCTTCTACGCCACGCAGATGAAGACGTGAGTGAGTGCCTCCCGGTTCGTACTCGTTTGAGTGCGCCTGTGACAGCCTGCCACGTGGTGCAAGCAGAGTCTCCATGGAGAAGGCATCCTGGCTCGCTTCCTGTGTGCTCGCTTCCTGTGTGCTCGCTTCCTGTGTGCTCGCTTCCTGTGTGCTCCTTGTCCGTCTCTTCCCTCCCTCTCCCACCTCCGCTTCTGCCTGCTTTTCTCCCCCTTCCCTGCCCCCTCAAGGCAGCAATGAGAGGCGGCGGCGGGCGGGGGACACGAGGATACCGGAGGAGCAGCACGTGCTGGCCGCAGTCACACAGCACGCGCTGTGGGGGGACGGGGGCGGGCAGGGAGGAGGGGCCAGCCAGGGGGCTGAGGGGCAGCAGGGGGAGGGCGAGCTGCTGGAGAAGGTGGAGGTGGAGACTGGGGAGGGCTCACCTGGTGGCGGTGGTGCAGGGGAGGCGGGCGGCAGCAGCAGACGACGACTGCTGCGAGCGCTGAGAGGGAGACGGAAAGGGAAGGAATCAGGGGCGGGCGAGCAGGCGCAGAACGCACATGTGGAGGGCCAGCAGGGACCCGATGGTGGGGCTGGAGGGGCAGAGAGGGGCGATGCAGCAGAGAAGTTGCAGAGTGAGGGAGGCAAGGGGTCCCTTGCGTCTCGGCGGGGGGACTTCCTCATTCCAGCAGTGCACCCCCACGCGCTGTCCACGGTGCGGCACGAGCTGGCAGCAGCGCACTTGCTGATGGTGGACTTCAGCCAGCCGGCGGAGCAGGTGGCGCATTTAGACAAGGACGTGCTGGTGCCCTACTCCGCCCTCATCCCGCCCTTCCTCAATGACTCGCTGCCGGGGGAGACAAAGGGTGGGCAGGGCAGAGTGGGAGGGGCGGAGGCAGTGACGGCGTGGGCTGCCGCACGGCCCACTCTGATCTTCTTCAGAGGCACGCTGAACCGGCAACAGAGAGGGATGCAATGCAAGCCGGATTAGCCAGCCTGAACCAGTGCCGTCTACTCCCTCCCTTGAGCCACTCATCCACCCCACTCGCTTTCAACTACGTTGCCCCTTCAAACTGCCCCGCTCTCGCTCGCCCCTCTCCCCCTCCCCCACCCCTGCGCTGCACCAGGGAGGGGCCATGCGGGTGCAGCTGGCGCGGCTGCTGGCGAACGTGAGTGGGGCAGACATAGCGGAGGGGTCGCCACTGCAAGGAGGAGTGCAGGCTGCCACAGCAGGCATGCGCTCCTCCAAGTTCTGCCTCGTGCCGGAAGGTCGCCACTGCTCACACTCACCTTCTGTCACTGCTCGCCCTCCTGCTCACGTCGCTCACTACAATGGTCTTCCTTCCACACACCATGCAAACCTGCAATCTTATTCGCAACTGGCCGTGCGTCCCTTTCCCTCCACCTCGCGCCCACTCCCCCTGGACCTCCCTCATACTCACCCTCCCTCTTCCTCTCCGCCCTCGCCTCCCCCTGCCAGGCGACACGGCGTCGTCATGCCGGCTGTTTGACGCCATTCTATCGCACTGCATCCCGCTGGTTGTCTCTGACTCGCTCGACCTGCCATTCGAGGAGGCCCTCGACTACACCGCCTTCGCCCTCTTCCTCCCACAGGCCCTCGCCCTCCGCCCCGGATACGTTGAGGCCTTCCTGCGAAACGTGTCGCACGAATCAGCATATGCCATGTGGCAGCGGCTCAAAGAGGTGTGTGGGGACGGGGTGGGGCTTACTCAGAGCTCTGCTGCAAAGCATCTCCCTTCCAGCGCAGTGCTGCCCTCAGCCTTCGCCCTCAGCTTCCAGCCTTCCAAAATGCTACAGCCATATCTCCCCTCTCCCCCACATCATACACCCTGGCAGGTGGCGCACCATTTTGTCTACTCCACGCCGCCCAAGCCCGGAGGGGCGGAGGACATGATCTGGCAGGCTGTAGCGCGGCGGTGGGCAGGGGACCACTATGGGCGGCGCTACAACCGGGAGAACCAGAGGAGGCGGAGGAGGGTGATGGAGCAGCTGTTGGAGCGAGAAGGGCTCAGTGCTGCTGACATAGTGGTCAGACCACGTGCCCTGCCACTCATGTAACATGCCTTGGGCATTTGCCTGTCTTGTGGCTGGTGCTGTAATCTGTTGTACCGTACATGCTCATGCATTTTACCAGCACTGAAATCATCTGGACCACGTCCCATCTCACACCATTCAGCACTGAGCCAAACCAGAAGCCCACCCTGCTCTGGGCCACAACCATAAGCCACTGTATGAGCTGAGCCATGGTTTGTTAGCCAGCAATATTCTGCCCACACAGCAGGTTTCAATGGTTACGAGTAGGAATAGTTATACAACAAAAACATGTTAGTGCGGGTAACTACTGTATGCTATTTACCTAGGGTGTGCTCACCAAGCACTAATTTAATGCGTGTACAAAAGGAGGTGGTGTGGTATGCGGGCCAAATCAATAACCAATCTTTTTGGACAAGAAGACCTCCCTTCAGTCTTTCTTTCCTCCTTGCTTATTGATCAGCGACTTATGAATATGTGGGATGACACCGCCACCAGCAATCGTACCCTGCAAGAAGAATGAACACCCAGGCATGAAACGGTCCGCCACGGTTAGCATCAGAGCAAAGGCGCTATAGAAGTCCATCTTCCAGCAACTATTGCTTCTAGAGGGGCAGAACTAGCAAGTGTTTTTTTCACCTTAATCAATGTATCCAACTCCTCGTCGCCTCTGATCGCCAGCTGGAGATGACGCGGTGTAATACGCTTCACCTGTTGTGCACCACACGAAGCAAGAGGCAAAAGTCAAGAAAATGAACGAGGCGGAAAAAACGCAACGACGCTGTCGCGAACTAGCACGCGAAATTCGACGGTCACCTTTAAGTCCTTGGACGCGTTTCCCGCTAGCTCTAGAACTTCCGCCGTGAGATACTCGAGGATTGCAGCACCGTACACTGCTGCGGTGGCACCGACTCGGCCGTTGGCAGCGACTCTCAACTTAAGCAGGCGATGGATGCGTCCCACTGGGAACTGCTCAAATCAACAGTCACGTGAGATTTCGCTCGCAGCACCTACGCATAGCGATCAGATTTCTGTTTATATTGTTGAGGTCAAGTTTAGCTGGAAACTGACCTGCAAGCCCGCTTTAGAAGAACGTGAAATTGGCTTCTTTTTGTCTCTTAGCTTGTCCAGGCCCTCTGGCCCCTTGCCCATAAGTCCTTTGGCCCCCTTTCCAGACTGGAATGGAGAAAAAAATAAAAACATGGGAGGAGTAGCCGAAGAACGATTCATTTAATCATTTGCTATGTTGTTGGACCGCTTAATGGAGGGGCCAGGCACCCGACAACCAGACAGGAAGAACAGTTACGGAAAAGTTGTTGGTTCCACCGTCGAGCCCATAAAAAATCAAGCAGCCCTTTTCCAGACGAAGTTACGAGAGCACACACCATGCTGGTAATCTGACGTCTGTCGGGTCAAGGATACGAGTGGTGATCCCAGTGCTTGAGTGGCTTGGCAAGAAGCGGAAGTGGAACAAATCGCTTTGAGCAGCGAGCAGTGAGGTAGGCAAAACAAGGAATGCGGAGGGCCTGTGCAATTTGTGCAGTGGGTGGGATGGGAGATGGGGGGCTCTCGAGAATACGGACTCCAGCAATCCACCGTTCGATAACCGGTCTCATCCAACGGTGTTGCGAAGCGTCCGGGACAGGCCATGTAATCGCCAAGATGTAATCGCACAATGCAGTTTTGATGTAACAAATTTGTTGGATGATAAGTGAAGTGCAGTTATTGTCCAAAGGGGGGTCTTGGGAATAATGTAACAAAATGTTTGGATGATGAATAAAGGAAAGATAAATCCAAAACAAATTATAGAGAAAAACATATGTGCAACTCAGGGTTATGGCATACTAGTGGATCTTGAATATTGTGCAATAAAGTAATTATTCTGAAAATACAGTTTTAGTTAGTTTTAGCATGGATGCTTTCCTTTGCCACATGTTGTTCTGAAACGAGAAGCTCATTACAGCGATGTCGTATGACATTTTGCTCTGGTGCGCGGGCTTCACCTGGTGCGCGCTGCGCTTCCCTGGGCTCTGACAAGGCGCGAATGCAGCAACGGTCAGCGATGGTGAGAGATTCTCGGGCATGTGAAATGGACATCGTGATCAGAATACAGTATTGTGATTCTCGGGCATGTATTTTCCGCTTAGTGGTTTCTCAATCCTTCCTTGTTTTGTCAGTGCTTGAAAATTGCTCGCATTGGATGGTTTGAATTATGTGCAAAAAAAAAAAACAACGCCCCACCTCCATGGCCAACAAGGGGCAACCCAGTCGACCATGGGAACCATCCAGCGATGGTAGCGCAGTCACCAGCAGCAGTCCCAGCCCTCAATCTTGGCAAACGCTCCTGACGCCCACCACACGTTGCCTTGTCCTCCGCGTCGTCCGAGCGCGAATTCTTCTGCGGCACGACGGCAAGCTCGACTGGGCTGGAGGGATGGCCATCTGCCGCTCCCCACCACCACATTTCACCTTTCCCGCTGCTGCCATGACTTTCAGTCCCCGGATTGGCATGACCGAACATGGCAATAGATGATCTCGGGTTGTGCTCTCAGATGCTTCTCTCCTCCTTCCCTTGGCGCATCATGCTCGACTGCCTCAAAGGTTCATTTCAACCGACATAGCGGCTGCATGACAGTGACTCCAAACAACATCTTGAGTTTGTGGGGCTCGCGGACATTGTTAGCGGCCGACAGTAGTTTTGACAACCATCACCTCTGCGTTCTCTTAATCCTCATCCAGAACCACTCCGTCACGAGCCTAGCCTAGCTAGAAGTAATTCTTTACTTACTGAGAGCACGATCCATATCAGAGAGCATAGGAGCCATTCAGCAGCCATGCCGTTCGACTTGCTTCCAAGCCGTAGGCAAGTCACCCGACTTAGCCATTCCATTCAGGTACGTTAACGCAAGCCACCCACGGCTTCTGTCGTGCGATCCCGTAGAACGGGTCGTTGCGGGCACTGTCAAGTCGGTTGAATCGCTCGCCAGTCTGCGCCTCTGGATCGTTTTAGGATGCTTAGAAAATCTCTCGAAATACCTCATGTGTTGCGTGTTCGCACGTGGTAGGGTGCCGAACCAGCAAGCACTAGGCATCTGCGCTGCGCGCATGCCAGTTGGTGCCTTGGCTCCGCACGACCGCCGCATCCTCCCTCACCAGTGCATGCTTCCTCTTCCCAGCCGTCGCTGTCCCTCACCAGCGTAATCCTCCTCTTTCCCGCGCTGCACTCACTCGCCTCGTCGCCGTACCGTCTATCAACACGCCCCATTCCAACCGCACCCCCCACTTGCTCACCTCATGGCTTCCCCTCTCCCGCCGCCACACTTCCCCGGCTATTCTCCCGCCCAATTCCCTCCGCGCAGCCGTCGCGGCAAGCAGTCGTCCAGTCGGGACACGGGCGTGGCGCGCCTCATACTGCCGGCCGCGTGTCTCGCGCTCGTCGTCACAGCGTTCATCTGGGCCTCGCCGCACAGTCGACGCGCCCTGCGCACCCACACAGGACAAGGCACGCCGCCCATCCCCGCGCTTTCTCCGCCCTTCTGCCACCCATCTCCCTTCACTTGCAATCCCCATGTGATCATGCTCGCGTGCTCGTCCATTTCGCGCCGCTCGTTCGTGCGCATCTCGTCATCGCCTACCGTTTTCACCCCTCTGCTCGTCGCCTACCGTCTGCCAGTCTTCGTTGCCCGCCCCGCGCCTTTGGCCATCTCGCTGCCTTTCTCCTCCAAATCACTTCTGAACCCGCTTGCTCACCGTGCACCGTTCGCTTCTCTCCTTCCGCCCCTCGCTTTGTTTTCTCTCCTTTTCAATCCTGCCCCGCTGCCATCCTCAGCAAACGGCGCGGCGGACGCGTTAGTAGTGGGGGTGGGCGTGGGCGAGCCCATCGAGATTCGCTACGAGAATCGTGAAATCATGGAGCTGCCGGCGGCCGGCACGGACGCGGCGGTCGCCGCCTTTCAGTCGGAACTCGAGGAGTCGGCGGCAATGGCGGCGAGCGAAGAGCAAGGGCCGGCGAGCGGGACCGGGGAGAGTGAGGGCGGCGGAAACAGTTTTTTGGAGGCAGTGGAGGCGATGAAGGGGGAAGGGGAAGGGGCGGAGGGCGGGGCGGGGCGGAGTGAGGGGGAAAGTGGCGTAGAACAAGGGGCAGAGGGGGTGAAGGCGGTGTTGGCGGAAGCGGTGGGGGAAGCGGAAAGCGGAGCCAGCAGCGGCGGTGCTGCGGGGGCTGGCGAATCGAGCGCGTCTCAGCAGCAGGATGGGTCGGCGGGTGGGTCGGCGGGCGGGGTGGATGGCACGTTCCCGCCCGGCGCCAGCTCTTCCGCCTCCCCCTCCGCCCCGTCCTCCGCCACCGCTTCCTCCTCGCCCTCTTCCCCCTCGTCCTCCCCATCCCGCGCGGATCTGGTGGAGCGCCTGCGCAACCTGACGGCGGTGCTGGAGAGCATCCGCCCGCTGGCGGAGGAGCGGGGGAACGCGCAGCTGGTGAAGCACATGCGCGCGGCGGCGGAGAAGAGCCGCGCGGTGACGGCGCGGTGGGAGGAAAGCGGCGCGTGGGGCGGCGACGACAAGGTGACGGGGCTGGTGAAGCTGCTGGAGGCGGTGGCGGCGCGCGCCAAGGAGTGGCGCGGCAACGCCGCGACGATCGAGAAGCTGCGCGGCGAGGTGGAGCGCGGCAAGGCCAAGGTGGCGGCGCTCACGGCGGAGCGCAACCAGCTCGACCTGGCGGCGGCCAAGGCGCTGCCCAAGTCGCTGCACTGCTTTAACCTCCGCCTCACCGTCGTAAGCTCACCGCTTGCGCTCGCGGGTTTAGGATGTGCGCTCTCTCGCTCGCCGCTTGCTGCGTCGCGATGCGTGGCATGCCATTTCGTACCCTCTATCGATGAGCTCACTCACCCTCATCTCTTCTCTTCTTCTCTCGCCTGGAACCCCCCTCCCCGGTGGCGGGCGGCAGGAGTACGGCAGCAACAAGGACTTGCGCGCGGCGTCGCGGCGGCGGGAGCGCAAGCAGCGCGCGCTGTTCACGGACCCCGCGCTGATGCACTACGCGCTCTTCTCCGACAACGTGCTCGCCGTCGCCACCGTGCTGCGCTCGCTGGAAGCCAACTCTGAGAACCCCGACAGGTACGCGCAGTTGACAGGTGGGCGGCCGTGGGAGGCCAGGCAGGGAGGTGAAAAGACTCGTTTTGGAAGGTAGAGAGGGTGGAGAGGTGTAGAAAGTCAAGGTTTCTTTTTGGTGGCGGCTGTGATACCATCGCCTTGCACGTGTGCTGCCGTCCACCTGACTCCCCCCACTCCTCATCCCCATCCCCCGTGTCCCACCCCTGCCCCCCTCCTTCCCCATGTGCGCCTCCCCCATCCCCCACTCACCCCCCCCGCGCGCGCGCAGGCACGTGGTGCACGTGGTGACGGACAGCATGAACCTGCCGGCCATGCAGGCGTGGTTCGCGCTGCACCCCCCCGCGCACGTGGCGGTGGAGATCACGAGCGTGGAGTCGCTGGCGTTCCTCAACGCGTCCTACTGCCCCGTGCTAAGGCAGCTGCAGGCCAAGGCGCTGAAGAAGTTCTACTTCAGCCAGCACGACGACTGTAAGCCCCGCCCTCGCTCCGCCCTGCGTGCCCCACCTCGCTTGCTCGCCTGCTCCTCACCAACCACTCCATTGCTGCTGCCCGTCACCTCTCCCTTCCCCTCTCCTGTTGCCCTCCCTCCCCAGCAGCGAACCAGACGAGCAGCGACCTATCACGGCCACAGGGGTCCGCAGAGGCTGATGCTGCAGGGGGGGCGGCGGGGGCGGGGCAGAAGCAGCTGAAGTTCAAGAACCCCAAGTACCTCTCCGTCCTCAACCACCTCCGCTTCTACCTCCCCGAGGTACGCCCTCCCGCCCCGTCAACCCCTCGCCTGCAATGCCGTGTGCGCAACCTGCCGTGCCACCCACCCACCTCATTCTCGCCACCTGTGGAATGCGCTATCCCACCCTCCCTTGAAAGCCCTCCACAAACCCCCCACCTCACCCCTGCTGTGCGCCTAATCTCCTCTCCCCCCAACACCCCTCCCCCCACCCATGCCGCAGATGTACCCAGCGTTGGACCGCGTGGTGTTTCTGGACGACGACGTGGTGGTGCAGCGCGACCTCTCGCCGCTCTTCACCCTGCCACTGCACGGCGCTGTCAACGGCGCCGTGTACACGTGCCGGGAGGGCGACGCCTTCCACCGCCTGCACAAGTACCTCAACTTCTCCCACCCCTTCATTCGAGATCACTTTGACCCCAACGGCTGTGGGTGGGCGTACGGCATGAACGTGTTTGACCTCGCTCAGTGGCGCCGCAAGGGCCTCACAGACGTCTACCACAAGTACCAGTCCATGGTGCGCCCCTTCCCGCCTCTCCCCGCCCCTCCCCGCCTCCCCCTGCCTCCCTGCCTGCTCCTCTACCTGCCTCTGCCTGCCCCTCAGCGTGCCCCCCTGTGCGCGTCTTCCGCCCTGCGCACATGGTCCTACAGAAGCCCTCCCTCACGTCTCTTTCTCTCCCCCCTCCTTCCACATCCTCTCCCCATGCGCCCGTGCGGTGTGTGTGGCAGAACGCGGAGAGGCAGCTGTGGCAGCTGGGCACGCTGCCGCCGGGGCTGATGACGTTCTACAACCTCACAGCCGCGCTGGACCCGCACTGGCACGTGCTGGGGCTGGGCTACGACAAGGCCACGCCCACCAACCTCATCGAGCAGGCCGCCGTGCTGCACTACAATGGCAATGCGGTGCGCCCTCCCCCCCCTGCTTCGCCACATCTGTGCCCGTGGCCCCATGCCCATCCGTGCTTACACCTATGCCGCCATCCCCAGTGCCTTTCCAACTCCCCCTTCTCGCCTCATGCTTCGCACTCGCCTCCGCTGGCTCCCTCACTTCTTTTTCTTCCCCCACCCGATCCTTCCCCCCTCACGTTCCCCCATCCACTTGCTGTGGCGTGGGCGAGCAGAAGCCATGGCTGGACACGGCGATCAAGGAGTTCAAGGGGCTTTGGAGCCGGTACGTGCTGGCGGATGATGACATGGTGCAGCAGTGCAACATCGACCTCCTCTAGCCGCCCCCGCCCTCCTTTCTCCTCTCCTCTCCTCCTCTCCTCTTCTCCTCCTCTCCTCCTCTCCTCTCCTCTCTCTTCCTCTCCTCCTCTCCTCCTCCTCCTCCTCCTCCTCCTCCCCCCCCTCCTCCTCCTCTCCTCCATCCATCCTCCATCCTCCATCCTCCTTAATCCTGCACGGATGGCACTGCCTGAGGGGCACACAGCCACGCGCAGCACCATCCCTTCCACCGCCTCATGCAACCCGAAATGACCGCAGTCCATGGCCCATGGCCCTGCCAAGCTACCAGTCACCCATGCACCACCATCCCCACCCCACGGCCATGCGTGCAGCACAAGGGCGCCTAGCCCAGCTGCTACTTCCGTGAATAGCGTGTTGCCATAGGACCAATAGAGCTTAGGACCTAGGGTAGGTAGCTCCTTACCAATACCAACCAACCATTCTTTTGTTGTGCCTCCCACTGACAAGAATGGGCGGTGCATCTAGATGCTGAAATGTTCAGTTGTTGAAGATGTGAATTGAATCTGGCACCAGCGCTGCTCAGTGCCCAGCACAGCCACCCACCCCTGCTTGAGCTCGCCTCATGTAGTGCTGTTACTGTCAAGGATGGCAACGGCAACGTGGGCTGGGCTGGATGACGCAAAGCACTTATTTACGGTAGTGCTCCTACTTATTTCCTGCAATAAGTCATACAGTTCGTGCAGCAACAAGCAACATAACCATCAATTGTTCTTCTGAATATTAATCACATCTTACAAGTGTAGCTTGCTGTTCGCTTCTATGTTTCCTTTTTTTTCCAGCACAATAACGCGCCTTACCATGTCGATCCCAGGTCGCCCACCAGGTACCCCTCGAGAGCACTTTCTGCTATTCGCCCCGTCCGCCAACTGCGCATCTGACTTGGCGTACTCGCTCGTACCACTTGAGGGGTCGTATTGACAGCTCAAATCTAACTTAGAGCGCGAGACGAGGGAGTGGAGCGCGTGGTAGAGGGCGTGACGAGAAGGTGATTGTGTGAGCGATTCTGGTGCCGTGCGCGACCTGGATAGTCCCGCGAATGTCGAAGATGCTTAAAGCGATGGACCCGCTAGCGGGGTTGGAGGAGAGCGAGAGCGAGGAGGACGAAGAGGATGATGAGGAAGCGGCGGATGAGGAGGAGGAGGAGGATGATGAGAAGGAGGAGAAGGCGGAGAAGGCGGAGGAGGAGGAAGGAGAGGAGAAGAAGGCTACGAGCGGAGACGGGGAGGCAACGGGACAGCGCAAGGGCGGAGGTAGGATCGCGTGGTGGCAAGTGGCGGTGGCGTGATGTGGATTCGCTCTTGTCCGTTCTGCGTTCCTCAACTCCCACTCCGCTCTCAACCCCCTGCTCGCCGCCCTGCCGTGTGTCGCGCGTGCGTGCAGAGGTGGACTACGCGGCGCTGGTGCGGCACGGGCTGGTGGGCGGCCCGTCCGTGCTGCTGCTTCCCGACCAACAGCCGAGCGCCGCCGTGGACTGGGGCAAGTGGGGGCGCGGGCATGGGCGCGAGGGGCACGCGCAGAGGCAGGGGCGGGGGAACGAGGCGGAGGGGGAAGGGGAGGATGAGAGGGAGAAGCGGAGGAGAGCGAGGGAGGAGAGCCAGCAGCTGCAGGAGCTGGCGAGTGATGCTGGCGCTGAGGTATGCCGAGGGATTCCAGGGGGATGTTGGCACCGCGGCGCACCACTCACTGTTTGTCCCGTAGTTATTAAAGCCATGCGTTGTTGTTTTTCTTGTTGTGACTGTCGCATGCCGGCAGTGACTTGTTCTCCCCATGCCCCATGCCCCATGCCCCATGCCCCATGCCCCATGCCCCATGCCCCATGCCCCATGCCCCATGCCCCATGCCCCATGCCCCATGCCCCATGCCCCATGCCCCATGCCCCATGCCCCATGCCCCATGCCCCATGCCCCATGCCCCATGCCCCATGCCCCATGCCCCATGCCCCATGCCCCATGCCCCATGCCCCATGCCCCATGCCCCATGCCCCATGCCCCATGCCCCATGCCCCATGCCCCATGCCCCATGCCCCATGCCCCATGCCCCATGCCCCTCCCTCCCCTCCCTCACCCGCCCACACACACCACGTGCCCCTCTTCACGCCCTGTCGCCCTGGCCCCAAGTGCACATCCCACGCCCCAACCTGCGTGACCATATGCCCATCTCCCTGCGTGCCTGTGTGTGGTGCGAGCAGGCGGCGGCAGCGAGGGCGTTGGCGCACGGGGCAGCGGCGCGGCAGCTGAGGGCGGAGCTGGCGGCGGAGCACAGAGAGCGCGAGCGGCAGCGCCGAGGAGGGCGGGGGGAGCGCGGGCGAGGGAGGGCTGCTGCAATGAGCTTCAGCCAGCGCGAGAAGAGGAAGCGGGATGCGGGGCAGGCGAGCCGAGGGAAGAACTACGTGGAGGAGGAGAAGCGGCAGCTCAGGGACCAGGGCGTATACTCTGGCTTTGATGCCTAGCATAGCTTAGCAAAGCTACCCTTGGTGTCAGCGCTCAAGTATTAACAATCTCGTTATTGTCTGTATCACCTGCCTGATTAAAGTTGCTCGCTAATAACAAGAAATGCAACTCCCTTCTGCCTAGCACTTCTCACCAAGCAAGCTACGGTAACAAGGAGAACTGTAATGAATGTAGGTTATTATCGAACCACATACCGAAGTGTATTCACATTATGCAATTCCGGAGCTTTCAAATCTCGCACGACGCCCTAGTTTCCTCCACACGGCACCTGACCAATCCCCGCTGCGCCTCCACGGCGCCTTGGACTCAACGCAACTCAACTCCCGCCTTCCTCACCAAGCTTGAAGCCCCGTCGCTCGTTCCGTGCGACTAGCAGCCGCGCCGGCAGCGCCACTCCTTCTCGCCCGCCTCGACGCCATCAGCGCGCTTCACCTGCCTGCTTGCCGCCGCGCACTCCCCGCGCTGCCCCATGGGCAAGCTCAAGCGCCCGGGGCGGGGAGGCGGGGGCGGGGGCGGACGAGGGCGCGGGTACGGGCGCGACAGGGACGCGATGCCGCCGCCGCCCCCGGGTGTGCTGAGCAAGCCCGCGCCGCCGATGCTCCGCGAGAGCAAGAGCACCATCCGCCCGGCCTCGCGGCGCGCGTCCCCAGCGGTGGAGGGCAGCGCAGCCGCGGCAGGGGGCGCGCGGGAGGAGGAATTTGCGCTTCTGCACGGCGAGAGCGGCGCGGAGGCGTTCGGGATGTGGATCAAACTGACGGACAAACTGACGGAGCTGCTGACGGCCGGCGACGACGGCGTCCAGGCGATGATGAAGTTCGGCCGGAACGGCGGCGGGCACGTGCGTGAGGGTGGGACGCGTGGGGGGAGACGCTGAGAGGGAGTGCGAGTTGAAGGGAGGAAGGCGAGGACGGGCGGTTAACGGGGAGGGCAGGGGAAGCACCGAAGAGGGGGACAGGGAGGGGGTTGCGAGGGGGACAGGGAGGGGGATGAGAGGGGGTTGAATGTGAGGCCCCTTTCAGCCCTTGAAGCGTGTTCCACTCCCCCATGGTATCGCCACCCTCTGTGCGCCACTGCTCCACCCTCTGTGCGCCACTGCTCCACCCTCTGTGCGCCACTGCTCCACCCTCTGTGCGCCACTGCTCCACCCTCTGTGCGCCACTGCTCCCCCCTCCATCCCTCCCTCTCCCTTCCCCCATCCGTCCCTCCCCATTCTCCCCCGGGCAGGCCATCCGGGTGGGCGACGTGGAGTTCAAGTTCACGTCGCACGGCGAGCCCGACCCCGCACTCTGCGACGTCTACCGCCTCCTGCCGCCCGGCGACGCGGCGTGCGGCAGCGCGGAGGGGGGGGAGCGGCGGGCGCTGGAGCACGTGGCGCAGGTGGCGCGCAAGCTGAGCGTGCAGCGACCGCTGGACGAGCGCGAGAAGGAGAAGTGGCGCGACCTCACCAAGAGCACCCCCAAAGTCGCCAGTAACAAGTGCGGAATGGGGGGGGGGGAGTGGGGGCTGAGGGGAGGGGAGGGGAGGGGAGGGGAGGGGAGGGGAGTGGAGCGAAGGGGAGAAGAGATGGCAGTAAGGCGTTTATCGCAATGTGCAATGGCGTGACGTGGGGTGGTTGATTCTTGTGAAGCCGGTACAGCCCTCACGCGCTTCCCCTTTCCCCTGCTCCTGGGCTTGCATGTGTGATGCGGGATAGAGCATGCTGCATGGCGTGTGTGCATGCTGCATGGCGTGTGTGCATGCTGCATGGCGTGTGTGCATGCTGCATGGCGTGTGTGCTTGAGGTGTTGCATGGCATGTGAAAACTGCATGGCGTGTGCATGGCGTGTGCATGGCGTGTGCATGGCGTGTGCATGGCGTGTGCATGGTATGTGCATGGCGTGTGCATGGCGTGTGCATGGCGTGTGCATGGCGTGTGCGTGGCGTGTGCATGGCGTGTGCATGGCGTGTGCATGGCGTGTGCATGGCGTGTGCATGGCGTGTGCATGGCACGGGCCCGGGCAGGTTGAAGCTGGTGGATCTAAAGGGCAACAAGGCAGCCGCCCCCACCGCCGACGGTATGATGATTCTGCCGCCCAATCCTCGTCTCGTCGTGCCATCCATCTGTGTGGGCCATCCATCTGTGTGTGCCAACATCACGTTCAGGCATGCAGTCTTCCAGAATCCTCACCTCTACTTCTCATATTATTCTTTAAACCGTGTGTCCCCTCTGCGTGTGCTGCCCTGCCCGCGTGTGCAGTGCACAGAGGTCCTGGGAGGGGCGCTGCGAGCTTGCACGTGCAGAAGAAGCCAGGTGCGTGCAGGCAGGGGTGTGCAGGCAGGAGCAACGGGGTGAATGCACGTGCACACTGAATGTTGCATGCACGCACGGGGTAGTCCTGGTGTCACGCTGCGCCTCTCATGCCATCTGCACGCTACACCTCTCATTCCCCTATGTGCCTGTTGAACCTCTCATTCCCCTATGTGCCTGTTGAACCTCTCATTCCCCTATGTGCCTGTTGAACCTCTCATTCCCCTTTGTGCCTGTTGAACCTCTCATTCCCCTATGTGCCTGTTGAACCTCTCATTCCCCTATGTGCCTGTTGAACCTCTCATTCCCCTTTGTGCCTGTTGAACCTCTCATTCCCCTATGTGCCTGTTGAACCTCTCATTCCCCTATGTGCCTGTTGAACCTCTCATTCCCCTATGTGCCTGTTGAACCTCTCATTCCCCTATGTGCCTGTTGAACCTCTCATTCCCCTATGTGCCTGTTGAACCTCTCATTCCCCTATGTGCCTGTTGAACCTCTCATTCCCCTATGTGCCTGTTGAACCTCTCATTCCCCTATGTGCCTGTTGAACCTCTCATTCCCCTATGTGCCTGTTGAACCTCTCATTCCCCTATGTGCCTGTTGAACCTCTCATTCCCCTATGTGCCTGTTGAACCTCTCATTCCCCTATGTGCCTGTTGAACCTCTCATTCCCCTTTGTGCCTGTTGAACCTCTCATTCCCCTATGTGCCTGTTGAACCTCTCATTCCCCTTTGTGCCTGTTGAACCTCTCATTCCCCTTTGTGCCTGTTGAACCTCTCATTCCCCTATGTGCCTGTTGAACCTCTCATTCCCCTATGTGCCTGTTGAACCTCTCATTCCCCTATGTGCCTGTTGAACCTCTCATTCCCCTATGTGCCTGTTGAACCTCTCATTCCCCTATGTGCCTGTTGAACCTCTCATTCCCCTATGTGCCTGTTGAACCTCTCATTCCCCTATGTGCCTGTTGAACCTCTCATTCCCCTATGTGCCTGTTGAACCTCTCATTCCCCTATGTGCCTGTTGAACCTCTCATTCCCCTATGTGCCTGTTGAACCTCTCATTCCCCTATGTGCCTGTTGAACCTCTCATTCCCCTATGTGCCTGTTGAACCTCTCATTCCCCTATGTGCCTGTTGAACCTCTCATTCCCCTATGTGCCTGTTGAACCTCTCATTCCCCTATGTGCCTGTTGAACCTCTCATTCCCCTATGTGCCTGTTGAACCTCTCATTCCCCTATGTGCCTGTTGAACCTCTCATTCCCCTATGTGCCTGTTTAACCTTCTCTTTCCTCTTCCCTCCAACGCCCTCGCGTGTGCCCATCACCACCTGTGCGGTGCGGTGCGGTGCAGGGCTGTTCAAGCGATCGCCAGCGGCGCCCATCCCCCCGCTCGCCAAGCAGCAGCTTCAACAGCAGCGCCTGTCGCCCTTCAATCGCGCCACCCCTGCCGCCATGTCCCCCGACCTGGCAGGGGGGAGGGCGCTGGAGCCCAGGTCCGCCCACGCCACCCCCCCACGCCCTGGCCCCCACGCGCCCGACGCACATGACCGTGCCGCAGCCGCGCTGCTGGGGGGCACGCCTCAGGCGCCCCAGGTGCAGCAAGTGCCGGTGGGTGAGCTGCGCGCGTTCCTGGTGGACATCATTGGGCGCAACCCCAAGGGCGTCAGCAAAACTGTGAGCGCCGCATGGCGGGCACACACAGGGGAACAAAGGGGTGGGGGGAGCGGTGGCGTGGAGGGGGGAGAATGGGGAGAGGGGCAGTGGAGGCAGTGGAAAGGGAGAGGGACTGTGGAAACGGGCGAGACAATAGAAGAGAGACAATAGAAGAGAGAGGGTTAAAAAATCTGGATGAGTTAGGGGGAGGTGGAGGGAGGGAGGGTGTGAGTGGGTGGGGAGGGTAAGGGGATGGAGGGCGAGGGCGAGGGGGGGGAGGGTGGGTGTGAGTGGGAGGGGAGGGTAATGAGATGGAAGACATTGAGAGTTTGAAAAAGGAGGGCAGGGATATGGAATGGGTGAAATGCCCTTTTTTAAATCAAAGCAGTTGTGTGTGTGTGTGTGTGTGTGTGTGTGTGTGTGTGTGTGTGTGTGTGTGTGTGTGTGTATGTGTGTGTGTGTGTGTGTGTGTGTGCATGCACCAGGCGATGGAGAGGGCAACAGGGCATGAGTGGGCTCAGCTAGACAGGGTCGTCAGGCAGGTCAGTCCCTCCCCTCCTCCCCACGCACTGCAGGTCAGTCCCTCCCCTCCCCCACACACGGTGCGGGGTTCTGTAGAGATTGCACCTGCCAGTCTAGGTTTTGCGTTTGAGAGTGCGTTTCTTGAGATTCATTGCTGTTACCTCGTTCCCCTGCTGGAATGTCATGCAGCAGCCCCTTACAGTAGTGGTCTGTACACTCATGCATGCATTGTTCACTTGGGGATGTAGCTCCGTTTTGGTGTGTCTTTGTGTTGGGGTGTCAATCCACCATTTGTGGTGGCGCTTTTTAAATCACGCAATTCTGCAATATAATACATCACATTGGCCTCTGTTTTGTGATTGCCTATATCAACCACAAGTTGGGACCAGTGGTAGTTAAGAGACTCCCGGCCGTTTTTGGTGCGAGCCGCCTGGTTTCCCTTCCAACGTGGTGCACGTGTTGATTGGCTCCTCATCTTTCACCCCCGCCACATTCTTTCCACCTCTTGCTCCCACCCGCTGTGCCTGCACCGCCCATCCGCCCCACGTGTTGTGCTGGGAGCGTGCAGATAGCGAAGCTGCATGCGCCGGGGTACTACCGCCTGCTGCCACACGTCAAGGACACCACCCAGAGCGCACACCCTGCTGCTGCACCACCACCAGCAGCAGGCGCAGGGCGCTCCCCCATACAGCGTCGCTCCACATCCCCTCTGCCCTCACACTCCCCTCTGCCCTCCCGCTCCCCTCTGCCCGCGCACTCCCCGCGGCCATCCCATTCCTCTCTGAGGACGCCTCCTCTCTCCCCTCTGGCTGCCGCCTCCCCCCGCCCATCCACGTCCCCCCTCCCATCGGCATCCCCCCGCCCCGCGGCCACGCCTCCACCGCACTCCCCGTGAGAACCACCCCCCTGCTCCTCGTCCCTTTCCCGCTCTCCCCCGGCCCTCCATCGCTGCCCTCAAGCCTCTATGTGCCTTTGCCCTCCATCGCTGCCCTCAAGCCTCTATGTGCCTTTGCCCTCCATCGCTGCCCTCAAGCCTCTATGTGCCTTTGCCCTCCATCGCTGCCCTCAAGCCTCTATGTGCCTTTGCCCTCCATCGCTGCCCTCAAGCCTCTATGTGCCTTTGCCCTCCATCGCTGCCCTCAAGCCTCTATGTGCCTTTGCCCTCCATCGCTGCCCTCAAGCCTCTATGTGCCTTTGCCCTCCATCGCTGCCCTCTATGCTCACCGCCCTGCTGCTCCTCACTCTCACCATCCCTTGCCATCGTGCCTTCCCTTCCCCGTCCCCCTTTCTCCTCCCCCTCGCTACCCCTTCCCTCCTCTTTCCTCACTCCCTTCCCGTTCTCACTCCCTTCCCGTTCTCACTCCCTTCCCGTTCTCACTCCCTTCCCGTTCTCACTCTCCCCATATTCCCAATCCGCTTACCCCTTTCCCCTTCCCCACTGGGCATTCTCCCTGCAGGGGCGTGGAGGCGGCAGAGGGTGGGGGTGGGGTGGGCAGGGAGGGAGCGCGGGCGGGCAGGGTGCCGCTGCTGAACCTCAATGAGACGGGCTTCGTCGACGACGAGGGGGGGGGAGACGCGCATGCGCATGGGGACGGAGATGGGGATGGGGGGAAGGAGCAGGAGGAGGAGGAGGAAGAGGAGGAGGAAGAGGAGGACGAGGAAGGGGAGGAGGAATTGGTGGTGGAAGAGGAAGAGGTTGGAGGGGAGGGGAAGGGGGAGGAGGAGAGAGAAGTGGAGGGGGGGATGAGCACAGCAGGGGGAGAGGCGGGAGAGGGGGGCTTAGGGGAGGGCGCTGGGGGTGAGAGCTCGGATCACTCAAGGGGCGAAGGGGCAGACGGGGAGGCGGGTGAGGAGAAGAAGGGGGAGGCGGGCGAGGAGGGAGGGGGGGAAGAGGAGGTGCGGCTGGAAGACCTGTTTGGGGATGAGTCCCCCTCCCATGGGGAAGGGGAAGATGGGGGGGAGGGAGGAGGGGCCATTGGAGAGAGTGGAGAAATGGAGGGCGAGGGACAGGTGAAGGGAGAGAGTAGCGAGGGTGGGAGTGGGAGTGAGAGCGAGAGTGAGAGTGGCAGTGGGAGTGGCAGTGGCAGTGAGAGTGGGAGCGGGAGTGAGAGTGAGGGCGAGGGGGATGCGGGCAGCAGCAGCAGTGGCAGCAGCGGCAGTGCGAGTGAGATTGACATCGACATCGACGATGGGGACGCGGCGGACAGCGGCAGGGGGGGAGGCGAGGTGGAGAAGAGGGCGGAGGGCAAGGGGGCGCGGGCGAGGCACGAGGGGCGCGCACATGGGCATGGGCACGGGCACGGGCACGGGCACGGGCACGGGCACGGGCGGGCAGAGAGGGAGGCGAGGGCAGCGCGGGAGGGGCAGGCAGAAGCGAGCAGTGGAGGGGAGGAGGCGGGTGGCCAAGGGGGGAGCGGGGGTGTGGGGGAAGAGGGGACCTGGGCGGAAGAGGGGGAGGGGGGACTCGGCGGAAAAAGGGAAGACGGAGGGAAAGAGGTGGATGGAAAGAAGGGAGTGCATGGAGGGAAGGAGTTGCAGGAGGGGCAGGGGGAGGAGGAGGGGGAGATGGTAGGAGAGGACGTGAGGATAGAGAGTGAGGGGGACGAGAAACGCGGCGAGGGGGAGGACAAAGAAGGTGGGATGGGCGAAGGGAGAGCGGACAAGACTGATTCTGAACAGCAAGGAGAGGCAGGGGAGGAGGGGGAGGAGGGGGAGGAGGGGGAGTTGAAGGTGGATGGCAGCGGGGAGAAGGGAGATAGCTGTGATGTGCATGGTGAAGGGGATGAGCCTGGCAAGCAAGGCACGGGGGCGGACGGGAATACTGGCGTGCCAAGGGAGGAAGGGATTGAAGGCGAGGACGGAAATGAAGGGGCGGCAGAGGAGGCATGGGCTGGAAAGGATGCTAGGGCTAAGGCGACAGGGAGTGAGGAGCAAGGCGATGGGGCACTGAGAGAAGCAGAGGAGAAGGATAGAGTGAGAAAGGCAGAGGAGGAGAGAGTGAGAAAAGCAGAAGAAGAGGAGAGAGTGAGAAAGGCAGAAAAGGAGGAAAGAGAAAGAAAGGCAGAAGAGGAGAGAGTGAGAAAGGCAGAAGAGGAGAGAGTGAGAAAGGCAGAAGAGGAGAGAGTGAGGAAGGCAGAAGAGGAGAGAGCGAGAAAGGCAGAAGAGGAGAGAGTGTTAAAGGCAGAAGAGGAGGAGAGAGTGAGAAAAGAGAAGCTTGAGGAGGAGAGGAAGAGAGTGAGAGAGGATAATGTTCGGCGGATGAAAGAGAGGGAGGAGGCGGAGCGGGCGGCCAGGGAGGAGAGAATGAAAGCGGAAGAGGTGCGGCGGGCGAAGGAGGAGACGGAGCGGAGGGCAGAACAAGAAAGGGAGGCGAGAGATGGGGAGAAGGACAAGCGAGAGAAGGAGAAAGAGAAAGATGATAAGGAAAAGGCAGAGAGGCTTGAAAGGGAAAGAAGGGAAAAACAAGAGAGGGAAAGAAGGGAGGAGGAGAAAAGAGCGAAACAGGAAAAGGAAAGGGAAGAGAGGGAAACGGAGAGGAGACAGGTAGAGAAGGAGCAGAGAGAGATGCAGGAGACGGGAAGGAGGGAGAAGCAGGAAAGGCAAGAAGAGGAGAGTGTGGGAAAGAAGAGGTTGCGTGTGAAGGGTGGGGAGGATGCAGACGCGAGGGAGAAGGAGAAGGTGGGCGGCGCGAGGGAGGAGATGGCAAGGCAGGGGGGGGATGGGGATGGGTGGGAGGAGGTGGGTGCAGGGCGAGGGGACGACGAGGGGCCCCGAGGGCTGCTCAAGGGATCTGGGGCGCTGGGGCGAAAGGGTGAAGGCGGCAGGGGTGAGGGCGGCAGGGGTGACGGCGGCAGGGGTGAGGGCGGCAGGGGTGAGGGCGGCAGGGGTGAGGGCGGCAGGGGTGAGGGCGGCAGGGGTGAAGGGGTAGTAGTGGGGGCCGAAGCGATGGAGGAGAGAGAGGTGGGGAAGGTGGAGAAGAGGAAGAAGGAGAAGAGAAGTAAAGCAGGCAGGGTGGGGGAGAAGAGGGAGAAGAGAAGGAGGCAGGAGGGCGGGCAGGATGGGGCAGGGGAAGGCGGGCCAGCAGACATGGGCGGTGGGATGAAGCGGCGAGTGGGTGGCGATGCTGACCAGCCTCATGCTCACCCCGACTCCCCGCCTGCCTCAGATGCCACCGTGGCTCCTGTGGGGGGATGGGCGGAGGGAGAGGAGAGTGGGGGGCAGGCGAGGCAGAAGCGGAGGCGGTATGAGGAGGAAGCGGAGGAGGGGGGTGGGACAGAGGGAGAGAATGGCAGTGATGAGGGGTGGGAGGGGCATGACACGTCGTTCTATGAGCCCTATGAGAAGGACAAGCCCGAGCTGAAGGAGCCCATCACATCTCGAGACCAGTAAGGGTCCCTGCCATGCCATGGCAGCACCACAACGCTGCACGCCATGGCAGCACACAACGCTGCACGCCATGGCAGCACACAACGCTGCACGCCATGGCAGCACACACCACTGCACGCCAAGGCAGCACACACCACTGCACGCTGATGGAGCACATGTTCTATGGTGTGGGGGGGGGGGGGGTGGCAGGTACGCGCTGTACCACGCGGAGTTCACGGACAAGTACGCCGTCTACCTGCGCCTGCACTGCATCCTCGACGCCCAGCGGTGAGGCAACCGCGCCCAGGGAGGGGAGGGGATGGCTTTGCATGCGCCATGTGATGCAGTGAGGCATGGCAGAGGTGAGGCATGGCAGAGGTGAGGCATGGCAGAGGTGAGGCATGGCAGAGGTGAGGTGAGCCACCCCCCTGCCTTGCCTCTCTGCCTTGCGTCACTGCCTTGCCTCGCTGCCTTGCCTCGCTGCCTTGCCTCACTGCCTTGCCTCACTGCCCTTAGTGGGAATATACGCTCAAAACTGTTTGCGTTTAGCGTATACACGCTAGCGTGTATACGCAAAACGCTATACGCAAGCGAATACGCTATACGCTCGCCAATTTTTTTTTGGGAAAACCCGGCCAGAAAATTTCAACCTATACGGTTCGCTTCGGAATTGCACGACGAAGACATTGGCGGGGTCAGATGGCACGTCCGCGCTGTGTGCTAGCGTGGATGTGGGTTGAAAGTTCGTGTCGCGAATGGAAAGTCACGTACGTCGAGTCGCGCCTGCACGTTCCCTCACATTTTGGTGTTCACACTCAGTACCGCATTCAAAACCTTCGCAACCAATTGCGATAATGCCATTCCAACTTCTGTTGCCCATCTTCCCACTCCCACAGTCAACTCGCTATTAAACACGCACACCCCCAACATCCAACTCATTAGGTCTTCTCCCGCTACCAGCAGAGCACTGGGCATTCCCTAGCGCCTGGTGCCTATGTCGACTACTACCACCTCTCCTCCAACGGCACCGTCAGTTAACACCGTTGGCAGTTCGCAAACTCTTCTAACCGAGGCACGGGAGTATCTCCCCGACGTTGACCATGCCGTCTTCAGGCACTTCCGCATCATCAAGAGGGTCGAGGGAAAAGCTCAGCAGTACGAGTGCAAGTTCTGCAGCAACGTCTACACTGGTGCTGCCATCCGATGCGCGCAACACTTCACGTCGTGGAAGGGGATGAAACGCCGTGAAGTGGTGCTTTGCAAGGATGCGCCGCAAGATGTGCGTCGGGCCATGCGCGCGCATTACGAGGCAAAGGCTGCTGCGGCCGAAGAAAGGAGGCGGGCTGCAGCTGAAGCGGTTGCCGCAGTGAAGGCTAACGGTGGGAAGCGAGCGCGCATCACCGATTACCTTTAGGGGGATGCGGCTGCAAGAAAGAGAGAAGCGGACGAGTCACTTGCGCTTGCTTGGGCCGCCCTCCACATCCCCGAGCGCCACATTGACCATCCTCTGATGGTCAATGCATTGAACAACGTCTCACGCGTTGGCGGCGACTACGTCCCTCCCAAGAGGAAATACGTCGGCGGTGCTGGCCTTGTCGCGTGTCGCAACGGAATCGAGCAGGGTTTGGTGGGCGTCAAGACGAGCTGGAAGCGGACGGGCGTGACGGTCTCGTCCGACATGATGACGGACCGCAGGGGCAGGCCGCAGGCCAACGTGCTTCTTGTGAATGATTCCGGCGCCGTCTTCTTCGACTGTATTGACTGCAACATGGAGAGGAAAACGGGTGGTTACGTGGCGGGGATTCTCAGGCCCGTGGTGGAGGAAGTGGGTCCAGAGAACGTTGTTGCGTTCTGCATGGACGGGGGGTCGAACTATGCGGTGGCGGTGAAGCACCTTATACGGGAGTGGCCGCACATTCAGGATGTGCCGTGCGCCACTCACGTATTGGATCTTCTCATGGAAGACGTGGGGAAGATGCCATGGGCTAAGCCGGTGGTCGACAGGGGAGGGGAGATAACCAGCTTCGTCCGCAACCACCATTGGACCCGAGGGTACCTGCGGACGCCGGAATTGGTGGAGGGGAAGGTTCTGGAAGTGCTGAAGCCGGCTGGAACCCGATTCGGGACCAACTACATAGCCATATCTCGGCTGTGTCCGATGCGCGGCAGCCTCACCAACATGGTGACGAGCGACCAGTGGAAGGAGTGGGCGGCAGGGGACCGGAAGAAATCATGCGACGGGTTTAGTGCGCTGATCCATGATGCCGCCTGGTGGAAAACGGCCGAATTCTTCACCGCCCTGCTGAAGCTGCCCTACAAGGCGATGAGGCAGACGGACGGGCATGCCGTGGGGATGATGGGGAGGATGTACGGTGTGATGCTCCAGTTGACTGAGGACGTGGGGGACTTACTCGATGAGGACGAGGAGCAGTTGAGCAACGGGCAGAAGGACCAGATCCGCCGCATCCTCAGTGACCGTTGGGACGGCAGCCTCGCATGCGCCATGCATGTCGCTGGCCGCATCCTCAACCCCGCCAATCAGGAGGAAGATATTTTCGGCACTGATCCCGAGTGCACGGGAAGTCTTCAAGGCGTTCATCAGCCAGTATGTCGAGTTCCTTGTGAGCCGCGGGGATGGGGGGAATGACGCGTGCGACATCTTGCTTGAGCTGGGGGACGGGCTGAGGGCGTTCCTTAACATGAAGGGTTCTTTTGGGATGCCGAAAGCAGTGGCACAGAGGAAGCTGGTGAAAGAGGGGAAGTATAGCATGGTGAAGTGGTGGCAGTGGAATGGGACTGATGCCCCACGAGTGGCGGGGCTCGCGGTACGGGTGCTGTCTCAGCCCGTGTCAGCCTCACCTTGTGAGCGTGGATGGTCATCGTGGGATGCCGTCCACACCGCACGTCGAAACAGGCTCGGATCCGCCAAGTGCAGGGACTTGGTCTATGTTGCGCACAACTGGAATGTTGTGCGCAACTGGCACACGCGCGCCGATGTCTTGCCACATGTGGTGCCCGGGATTGGAGCGGAGCCTGCAATCTCGGCGGGATACAATGGGCTGGTAGACGAGACGACGGGAGAGGATGAGGAGGAAGGCAACAACGACGACATCCTCGAAGACGAGTACGCTAACTAGAGGGGGCATATGTGGCTTGCTGTGGGTGGCTAGGCATAAGGAGTAGTACTTAGAGAGTCTTAGAGAGAAGTGATGGTCGTGATGGAGTAGTGAACCCTAGTAGTGATGGTAGTGGTAAAAGTCGAGTAGGGGAAAGTTATGTGTAGGCCGTGGTATATGTGTAATGTGGAAAAAAATGTACTTTGAAACTTCAGGCCCCACCCCCCCCCCCTCCCCCCCCTCCCCGGGTTTTTTTGACCCTGCCCGGGAAGTTTTTTTTTTCTGCCCGAAAAAGCGGATTCCCAAACCCGTCCCTATAGCGTATAGCGTATATACGAGCGCGTATATACGATAAGCTTATATACGCAAAACGTGTATATTCCCACTAAGTCACTGCCTTGCCTCACTGCCTTGCCTCACTGCCTTGCCTCACTGCCTTGCCTCACTGCCTTGCCTCACTGCCTTGCCTCGCTGCCTTGCCTCACTGCCTTGCCTCGCTGCCTTGCCTCGCTGCCTTGCCTCACTGCCTTGCCTCACTGCCTTGCCTCACTGCCTTGCCTCACTGCCTTGCCTCACTGCCTTGCCTCACTGCCTTGCCTCACTGCCTGCCTCACTGCCTTGCCTCACTGCCTTGCCTCACTGCCTTGCCTCACTGCCTTGCCTCACTGCCTTGCCTCACTGCCTTGCCTCACTGCCTTGCCTCACTGCCTTGCCTCACTGCCTTGCCTCACTGCCTGCCTCACTGCCTTGCCTCACTGCCTTGCCTCACTGCCTTGCCTCACTGCCTTGCCTCACTGCCTTGCCTCACTGCCTTGCCTCACTGCCTTGCCTCACTGCCTTGCCTCACTGCCTTGCCTCACTGCCTTGCCTCACTGCCTTGCTCTGCCTTGCATGCTCTGCCTTGCATGCTCTGCCTTCCATGCTCTGCCTTCCATGCTCTGCCTTCCATGCTCTGCCTTGCATGTGTGGCAGGGAGGAAGCGGAGCGGATATTCTCGGAAATGGACGAGTGCGAGGATGAGGAGGAGAAGGAGCGGTATAAGCGGCGGATATATGCCATGTTCCACAGCAGACACAAGGTACCCATGCACCATGTTCCACAGCAGACACAAGGTACCCATGCACCATGTTCCACAGCAGACACAAGGTACCCATGCACCATGTTCCACAGCAGACACAAGGTACCCATGCACCATGTTCCACAGCAGACACAAGGTACCCATGCACCATGTTCCACAGCAGACACAAGGTACCCATGCACCATGTTCCACAGCAGACACAAGGTACCCATGCACCATGTTCCACAGCAGACACAAGGTACCCATGCACCATGTTGCACAGCAGACACAAGGTACCCATGCACCATGTTGCACAGCAGACACAAGGTACCCATGCACCATGTTGCACAGCAGACACAAGGTACCCATGCACCATGTTGCACAGCAGACACAAGGTACCCATGCACCATGTTGCACAGCAGACACAAGGTACCCATGCACCATGTTCCACAGCAGACACAAGGTATCCATGCACCATGTTCCACAGCAGACACAAGGTACCCATGCACCATGTTCCACAGCAGACACAAGGTACCCATGCACCATGTTCCACAGCAGACACAAGGTACCCATGCACCATGTTCCACAGCAGACACAAGGTACCCATGCACCATGTTCCACAGCAGACACAAGGTACCCATGCACCATGTTCCACAGCAGACACAAGGTACCCATGCACCATGTTCCACAGCAGACACAAGGTACCCGTGCACCATGTTCCACAGCAGACACAAGGTACCCATGCACCATGTTCCACAGCAGACACAAGGTACCCATGCACCATGTTCCACAGCAGACACAAGGTACCCATGCACCATTGTTCTGTCCTGTCTGGGCTCTCGCTCCACTCTCTCTTGTCGCTCCCTTGCTCTCCCCTCCCCTCAGCGCCTGCATCAAATGAAGGCGGTCTTTGCCCTCATGCAGCAGGAGCTTGCGGTGAGCCTCCTTGCCTCTCCGCACTCTCCCCTACATGCACGCTTTCTCAGTTCCTCAGCGGTTATCATCCCTGCATGCCTCCTGTGTGCCACTTTCTTGCTCTCTCCTCACTGCTGCTGCCTCTCTCTGTGACATCCCAGTCTAATGTATGTCAATGTCCTGGCTGTCTTGCCTTCCCTGCATCAGTCACATCGCAGTTGTCTGCTGCTGCAACTCCCTTGTTCAATGCACAGACACATGCATAGATCTTCCATAAATTTCTGTACCAGTTGTATACTTGTTCATTGCACATACACATGCATAAATCTTGTATCAGCTTGTGTAGCATCCTTGGATGTCTTGCCCTCAATTGCGCCCCTTTTCCCTCCTCACCCTGCCCTCACCTCACCACACATCACTGATATTTTGAAGTCGATCAAGGCGCGGGTGAATGAATACCTTCAGCAAAGCTGAAATGCAACACAGATACGCCGTAGTCATGGACGGGAGTCCGACACCTGCTTGACATTGGCGTAGAGCAATGGAGTCTGCACTGACGGTGGTCGTATGTGCCTAAGTGCTGTATGAAATTCGTGTAATCTGCAGAATTACTGAGCCATGTACTGGATCACACATCCCGCAGTCACGCAGATAGTCGTTTGTGCGTTAACGGATTAGACTGGAATATGGCTAAGGGTGATTAATACAGTAGTGAGCAGCAACCCATGAGCAGCAACCGGGGACAAGCAATTCATGAGCGACGACCATTGAGCAACCAGTGAGCAGGATGCAGTTAAGCTGTTACGTTGTTACACCGTTAGGCTGTTAGGAAGTTAGGCTGTTAGGCTGATAGGCTGTTAGGCTGTTGGGTTGGTAGTCTGTTAGGCTGTTAGGCTCTTACCGTCATCGCCCGGATAGTAGACCCTTATGTCTTATCGCATAAACGGGCAAAAATGCTTGGGTTGTGTTGTATTTGGACGGTTTAGGGTGTCTTATAAATCTTATAAATGGACAAAGAACCGTTTAGAAGATACCCCCTCGCTATACGATTGCCCCTAACCTCTACACTGGCTTAACGCGTACACACAAATAGGTGTTTCGTTTATAAGAGACACCCGGATAATAGACAACCCCTGTCTACTATTCAACACTGTCTACTATCCGGGTGATGACAGTACTGTATGGCCCCGGATATAAGCGCCGTCCGATTAAAGGCGCCGGCGCTTCTATCTGGAGCATGGCGCTTATGGCCGATCCTCGATTAGAAGCGCACCCCTCTACATGTGCTAACTTATTATAAGCGCATGTGCTTTATCTACTATCTATTTTTCATTCTAATTTCATAGAACATGACATTCTGTAACAATTCCTAACAAGAGTTGTTTTACCCTATCAATTTCAAGGTTTATCATACTTTGAATCAGCTACTCATGTCAGACTACAGCCTACCATCTAACACAAAAGCTACCTACTCCTCCTCGTCAGACTCGGGCTCCAGGCAGTTGTTGCCAAAGAAGCCGTCAGCGATGATGTCGTCATCGACATCGACTTCACGAGTCAGCTGGCTTCGCCTGTGCGCCATGGCAAGCGAGTCCTCGCTGCCGTCAAGAGCGTTGCTGATGCCGCAAGTGAGGAAGGCTTGCTTGATGAGGTCCGCAGGCACTGCCTTCCATGCGCGCGAGATCCACTTCACGACCACCGCAGGCGGCGACTTCTTGAGGTTCCCTGCACCAACAGACAGAGACACAGGACTATCGTTAGTTAAAAAAAAGGGTTGACGATAGCAACTCGCAATGCACAAATGTTGATTTGTTATGGAATCTTACCTGCTGCTGTCAGTCGCTCTTGGCCTTTGTCCTCAAACCACTTCTGGTACTGCTGGCGGACGGAGGCCTTGAACGACTTGTTGATAGAGACGTCCAGCGGCTGAATCTCCGCCGTACAGCCTGCCGGGATCACCGCCGGCACGATGTTGAGCTCGGCGAACTTGTCCTTGACCCCTTGAGTGAGGTGATAACGGTAGGAGTCGAGGACCACCATCGCGCTCCTCGCCTGCCTGCCGAACCGAGGCCTTAGAAAAGGCTTGATGCACTCCTCCATCCATCAGATGACGCCTTCGGCGTCCATCCACCCGTTCTCGTGGCAGGCTACGACGACATCTGCACAGTGATACACAAGAAAGGTTAGCGACGGTTGTTCAAAGCAAGGAATCAACCCATATCAAGAACCATCTCTTACCGGGCGGGAAATCTCCCTTCGGCACTGTCTTCCGCTTGAAAAACACCCACGGCTTGAGCTTCTCCCCATCCGCCGTGCACGCCAGCATCACGGTGACGCGCTCCTTCTGGTATCCCGCACTCCGGATGGGCACCGACCGCACGCCTGTCTGTTCCACGGTGGTGGTGGCGGGCATCTCCAGCCACAGCGGCGTCTAGTCGGCGTTGATGATCCACGTAGTCTCGATGCCGCGCTCACGCCGCTTGTCACGCACAAACTGCAAAAAATTTCGGCACATCTCCGCGACATCTGTAAAACACAGAGGCAAAGGGGGAAGACGATGGGTTAGTACACATGAAGCAAAAAAACCCACAGGCGGGATATACGGTTAATACTTACGGGCTGCTTTTTTATACGCAACTCTCTCGCGTCTTCATGCGGACGCTCAGATTCCACCGCTTCCGAAACCGTTCCGACCACCGCTGGCTGCCCTTCCACTTCACTTGGGGGTAGAGCAGCTTCATGAACTCGTGCGACCACTCCTGCAAACGGCCGACGGAGACGGCAGTTCCCTTGCGGCGCCACTCCAGTAGCTTCTCGTACTCCTTTAGCTCCATCGGGCGGTACCATGAAGACCTCCCGCGGCCATGCATGCGCTTCCGTGCGGTGTGAACCTTGAGGAAGTCGGCGGCACGCTTCCACTCCGTGAGACACTTTCGGTGGATGCCGCTTTCACGAGACAGCGAGCGCACCGACACCCCCACATCCAGCCGCGCGACCCACTGCAGTTTTTCTTGCGCAGTATAAGCTTGACGCTTATGCTGGTTGACTTTGTTCCTGGGAGAGGGGGGGCGGGCATCACGATTCTCAGCAGAAGGGTGAGGTCGCTTGCGGTTAACATGAGGATAAGTAGGAATCGGGAGTTTCTCGAGGAGCCCATCGCGAGACCAGTATTCGAAGCCGTCGTCGTCGGCGGCGCCAGGTACACCCTCGGGAAACACATCGGCCGTGGTGCCAGCCTCGGTTCCAGTCTCCGTGCCAGCCTCGGCACCGTTGTTGCCCTCGGCAACGTTGTCGCCCTCGGCACGTCCTTCTTCCTCGTCGTCAGCCACATCGTCGTCGGCGCCAGCGGCAGGTTCGTCCCACGTGCAAGCTTTGGGCTCGCCCCATCTTGGTGCAGGTGCCGGAGCCCGTACATACACATCTGGCGGCTTGTTGTTGTCCGGTTCCGACAGGTACGCGTCGAAGGCGGACGAGAGCAAGAGCGTGAGCACGGGCTGATTCGCCGTGGGTTGAGGACCGGAACGCCTGATACGGAGGAGCAGGAGGAGCGGGAGGCGCAGGAGGAGCAGGAGGCGCAGGAGGAGCAGGTGGCGCAGGAGGAGCAGGAGGCTGTGGTGGCGATGGTGGTTCTGGTGGGATACGTGTGTACCATCCGTCAGCGTCAACTGTGTACGCAGGTCTAGGTTTTTTCTTGAAAAGGAAATGAGTGCCTGTGAATTCCGCCATGGCTTCCGCAGCCAGGCGGGCGTGAACAAGAAACTGAATGGGAAACTGAAAGCATGAATGAAGAAATGAAAGATTGAGGAGGACCCGAAAGTGGCTCGGGGTCATCATCGATGAAAGACGGAAACCCCCCTGCCTGAACCCGCAGAGGAGGGTTCATGGCACCAGACGTGCTGTGCTGGCAGGGCATATTCCACACCCTTCGAGAGGGTTCGGATGAGTTGTCCTGCCTGGCCGCGCATGACAACCCGATTGGGCCACACGGCAGCTTTTGTGTCAGCGCTGGCAGGTGCGCTGCACTGGGACGTGAAGTGTGCGGTGGGAAATCGAATCGTGGCGATTTTCGCCAGGATTTCATGCACGATCCCACGTGAACGGCACATCGTTCTGTTTGCCTGATTGCGAGCTTCATTTTGGTACCCTTACAAACAAATTTCAATTTTGACATTATACAGGCGCGGGCGCTTATGGCCGTTCCTCGATTACAAGCGCACCCAAAAAAAAACAAGATTTGATTAAAAGCACATATGCGCTACTATCCGAGGCCAGACGGTACCATTACCATTACCATGACCACTACTTTTACCATGAATGTTAAGAAAACGTAGGGAAAAGCATGTGCATGCTCGAATGACCTGAATGTTATTGCATATTCGGGTGGCCCATGCTCAGATACACCTATCAGAGCAATTTCAAGCTTGGTTCGTGCGCAAAGAAAAGTTCGGCGCCTGCGATGACGGCTGTGTTTGCCGACAAATGCTAAAGAAGCGCATGTTCAAACTGGCGTAGGGAAAAGCATCGAATGACCTTAATGTTACTGGATATTCGGGTGGCCCATGCTCAAAGACACCCATCAGAGCAATTTTAGCTTGGTTCGTGCGCGAAGAAAAAGTTCGGCGCCTGCGCTGACGGCTGTGTTTGCCAACAAATGCTAAGAAGCGCATATTTGAACAGGCGTAGGGACAAGCATCGAACGACCTGAATGTTATTAGATATTCGGGTGGCCCATGCTCAAAGACACCTATCAGAGCAATTTCAGCTTGGTTCGTGCGCAAAGAAAAGTTCAGTGCTGATGGCTGTGTTTGCCGACAAATGCTAAGGAAGCGCATGGATCCCTACACGCGTACGGAAAATCATCGAACGACCTGAATGTTATTGCATATTCGGGTGGCCCATGCTCAAATACACCTATCAGAACAATTTCAGCTTGGTTCGTGTGCAAAGAAAAGTTCAGCGCCCGTGTTGACAGCTGTGTTTGCCGAGAAATGCTAAGGACGCGCATGGATCCCTACAAGCGTAGGGAAAAGCATCAAACGACCAGAATGCTATTGCATATTCGGGTGGCCCATGCTCAAATACACCTATCAGAGCAATTTCTGCTTGATTCGTGCGCAAAGAAAAGTTTGGCGTCCGTGATGACGGATGTGTTTGCCGACAAATGCTTAGGAATCACATGGATCCCTACATTCGTAGGAAAAAGCATCAAACGACCTGCATGTTATTGGATATTCGAGTGGCCCATGCTCAAATACACCTATCAGATCAATTCCAGCTTAATTCGTGCGCAAAGAAAAGTTCGGCGCCTGCGATGACGGCAGTTTTTGCCGACAAATGCTAAAGAAGCGCATGAATTTCTACAGGCATAGGGAAAAGCATCGAACGACCTCAATGTTATTGCATATTCGGGCAGCCCATGCTCAAATACATCTATCAGAGCGATTTCAGCATGGTTCGTGCACAAAGAAAAAGTTCAGCGCCCGCGATGACAGCTATATTTGCCGACAAATGCTAAGGAAGCGCATGGATCCCTACACGCATAGGGAAAAGCATTGAATGACCTGAATGTTAATGGATATTCGGGTGGCCCATGCTCAAACATTCATATCAGAGCAATTTCAGCTTGGTTCGTGTGCAAAGAAAAGTTCGGCGCATGCGGTGAGTGTTGTGTTTGCCGACGAATGTTAAGGAATCGCATGAATCCTTACATTCATAGGGAAAAGCATCAAATGACTTGAATGTTATTGCATATTCGGGCGTCCCGTGCTTAAATAAACATATCAGAGCAATTTCAGCTTGGTTCAGGCGCAAAGAAAAGTTCGGTGCATGCGATGACGGGTGTGTTTGCCGACAAATGCTAAGGAAGCGCATGGATCCGTACATGTGCAGAAAAAAAGCATCCAACGACCTGAAAATTACTTATAATTCGGGTGGCCCATGCTCAAATACACCTATCAGAGCAATTTTTTCGGCTTGGTTCTTGCGCAAAGAAAAGTTCGGCGCCTGCGATGACGGCTGTGTTTGCCGACAAATGCTAAGGAAGCGCATGGATCCCTACATGCATAGGGAAAAGCATCCAACGACTAACAGCCTAACAGCCTAATAGCCTAACAGCCTATCAACTTATCAGTCTAACAGCCTAACAGCCTAACAGCCTAATAGCCTAATGGCGTATCAACCTATCAACCTATCAGCCTAACAGTTGAACAGCCTATCAGCCTAACAGTCTAACAGCATAACAACCTAAGAACGTAACATCCTAACAGCCTAAGAGCCAATCAGCCTATCCGCCTATCAGCCTAACAACCTAACAACCTATCAGCCTAACAGCCTAACAACCAAATAGCCTAATAGCCTAACAGCCTAACTGTTAGAATATTGTATTCTTATATCCCAATAGTCTAGTGGCTGGGATTCTGACATGGTTTCAGAGCAGTAACTCATCCTAAGGACCTATTTTTTATTTAAGGATCATGGGCCCGCCCATGCTGCAACGCGGAATGCGCTATTTTTTTTTCTTCGTTGGCCATCGCGCCCTGCACCCGTCGCGCTCGTCGCCTTGCACTCTGCCTGTTCTGCCCGTCGCGTCCCCCGCTCGTCGCCCTACCCGTCGTCAGTGCAAGCGTCACCGTGGAGCGCCAGCGCCAGCACCTGCGCCTGCCGCCAGCGCAAGCGTGGAGCGCAAGTGCCAGCGCCAGCGCCAGCACTTACGACCAGCGCCAGCGCCAACGCCTGCGCCAGCGCGAATGACGGCGCTAGCCTCCCCCCCCCCCCCCCCCCCCCCCCCCCCCGCCCTCCCTTCCGCGGCTTCTGTCGTGGGGGGGGGGGGGGGGGGGGAGGGGGAGATGTGGGGGTGGCGGGTGTGAGCTGCCAGCAGCCCGTCTCGAGCAGCCCGTCCCTCCCTTCCCTCTTCCTCTCTCCCTGCAGCACTTGTTGCTGCGAGGGGGGGGGGGGGGGGAGGAGAGAGGTTAAGGGGGTGGAGAGAAAGAGAGAGAGAGATTCGCATGTTATGTTTTCTTGTCTATTTTATATCCGTCGTATCTGGGCGTGGTCGCCCCTCGTCGCGCACACCAGGCATCCACTGCGAGGGTTTAAACCGCAGGCGGGCATCCCACCGTACCCGGCAGTGGGCCCAGCTGCTGTACGGTGATTGCTGCGCTTCAGGTTGAGCGCGCGCCCCTACACTAGCTAGACCTGCATGCAATTAAGGGGGGATGTTAGAATATTGTATTCTTATATAATTATATGCATAGCTAGTAGTGTAGTATCATTCAATCTTGTCTGTGGTGGTGTACCTCCCTTGGCCACCTTTTCTTGCTATATCTTGTATCTCTCTCTTTAGTGAAACCCCTCTTCTTTGGCCAAACCTCTCGCTACTACCCTTCTTCCTACCCTAGCTATGGCTCTTATGTTCTAAGCCATTGCTAGCTGTGTTTGACACTAACAGCCTAACTGCCTAACAGCCTATCAGCTTACCAGCCTAGCAACCTAGCAATCAATCAGCATATCAACCTATCAGCTTAAAAGCCTAACAGCCTAACAGGCAAACAACCTAAAAGCCTAATAGCCCAACAGCCTATCAGCCTATCACCCTAACAGCCAATCAACCTATCAGCCTATCAACTTAACAGCCGAACAGCCTAACAACCCAACAGCCTAACAGCCTAACAGCCAATCAGCCTAACACCCAAACAGCCGAACAGCCTAACAGCCTAACGTTCTATCAGCCTAGTAGTCTAACAGCATATCAGCCTAACAGCCTAACATCCTAACAGCCTAATAGCCTATCAGCCTATCAGCCTATCGGCCTAACAACCTATTAGCCTAACAGCCTGACAGCTTATCAGCCTAACAGCCTAACATCCTAACAACATAATGACCTAACAGCCTAACAACCAAAAGCGTAATAGCCTAGTAGCCTATCAGCCTATCAGCCTAACAGCCTATCAACCTATCAGCCTAACAGCCTAACAGCCTAACAGCCTAATAGCCTTACAGCCTAACAGCCTAACAACGCCTATCAGCCTGACAACCTAACAGCCGATCAGCCTAAAAGCCTATCAGCCTAACAGTCTAACAGCCTAACAGCCTATCCGCCTTACAGCCTAACAGCCTAACAGCCAATCAGCCTATCAACCTAACAGCCTAACAACCTAATTGCCTAACAGCCTAATAGCCTATCAGCCTAACAACATAACAACCAATTATCCAATATGCCTAACAGCCTGATAGCCTAACAGTGTATCAGCTTATCAGCCTATCAGCCTAACAGCCTAACAGAGCCTAACAGAAACAGCCTAACAGGCAGGGAAAACTTTAGTATTTGAGCCCGTCTGACTGTAAGATCAAGTTTTTTTTGCTTTGTCTAATTGTCAGACGAAAAAAAAATAGCTGATGTCTGGCTTTTTAGACGAATCACTCTTAAAAGTCTGAAGTCTTAGACGATCTGTTTGATATATTTTAACTTTGTCAAATTTCCCCCTTCTATACGGGAAGCGAGATGCCCAATAGGCCAATGAATGCACATGAAACGAGATGATTGTATACGTAATCCAACAATCCGAATTCCAACTTCGACATCGACGGCTTAAATTGCGCCGTCTGTTCACTTTGCATCAGACAAGAAAGAACTTGCTATCAGTATTTCAGACGAAACCTTATAACATCTCTACAAAATCAGACAAAAAAAGTATCATACGGTATCTGAAATTTCAGATGGAAAAATTCACCTTGCCTAAGCAATCAGATGAAAACATAAAAGTAGGTATGAAACTCAGACAATCTGACAAGAAATTTTTGATAAAGAAGACCCTGCTAACAGGCTATCAGCCTAACAGCCTAAAAGCCTATCAGCCTAACAGCCTATCTGCCTAACAGCTTAACATCCTAATAGCCTACAGCCTAACACCTTATCAGCCTAACAGTCTATCAGCGTAATAGCCTAACAGTCGAACAGCCTAACAACGTAACAACGTACCGTCATCGCCCGGATAGTAGACAGTGTTGAATAGTAGATAGGGGTTGTCTATTATCCGAGCGTCTCTTATAAACAGGCTAGCCTCATTATAAGGCACCTATTTGTGTGGGCGCGTTAAGCCAGTGTAGAGGTTAGGGGCAATCGTTATAGCAATGGGGTATATTCTAAACGGTTCCATGTCCATTTATAAGACTTATAAGACACCCTAAACCGTCCCAAATACAAGACAACCCAAGCATTTTTGCCCGTGTACGAGATAAGACATATATGTCTACTATCCGGGCGATGATGGTAGTGATAATGGTAATGGTAGTGGTAAAAGGTAATGATAGTGGTAATGGTAATAGTAATGGTAATGGTAATGGTAGTGGTAATGGTAATGGTAATGGTAGTGGTAATGGTAATGGTAATGGTAGTGGTAATGGTAATGGTAATGGTAATGATAATGGTAATGGTAATGGTAATCGTAATGGTAATGGTAATGGGAACAGTAATGGTAATGGTAATGGTAGTGGTAATGGTAGTGGTAATGGTAATGGTAGTGGTAATGGTAATGGTAATATTAGTGGTAATTGTAATGGGAATGGTAGTGCTGCGTTGCTAACATCCTATACTGCGTTGCTTGCGCACTCAGCTCGGATGCTCGGCCACTCAGCTGCGATGCTCGCACCCTCAGCTGCGTTGCTCGCACACTCAGCTGCGTTGCTTGCACCCTCAGCTGCGTTGCTCGCATGCTCAGCTGCGTTGCTCGCACCCTCAGCTGCGTTGGTCTCACGCTCAGCTGCGTTGCTCACACACTCAGCTGCATTGCTCGCACCCTCAGCTACGTTGCTCGCACCCTCAGCTGCCTTCCTTGCACACTCAGCAGTGATGCTCTCACTCTCAGCTGCATTGTTCGCACGCTCAGCTGCGTTGCTCGCATGCTCTGCTGCGTTGCTCGCACGCTCAGCTGCATTGCTCGTACGCTCAGCTGCGTTGCTCGCATGCTCTGCTGCATTGCTTGCACGCTCAGCTGCGTTGCTCGCATGCTCTGCTGCGATGCTCGCACACTCAGCTGCGATGCTCGCACACAAAGCTGCGATTGCTTGCACCCTCATTTGCGTTCCTCGCACCCTCAGCTGCGTTGCTCGCATGTTCAGCTACGTTGCTCGCACCATCAGCTGCGTTGCTTGCACCCTCAGCTGCGCTGCACGCACCCTCAGCTGCATTGCTCGCACCCTCAGCTGCGTTCTCGCACACTCAGCTGTGTTGCTTGCACCCTCAGCTGCGTTGCCCGCACCCTCAGCTGCATTGCTCGCACCCTCAGCTGGGTGGCTCGCACACTCAGCTGTGTTGCTCACACCCTCTGCTGTGTTGCTCGCAGCCACAGCTGCGTTCCTAGCACACTCAGCTGTGATGCTCTCACTCTCAGCTGCGTTGGTCGCACGTTCAGCTGTGTTGCTCGCACCCTCAGCTGCGTTGTTCACACGCTCAGCTGCGTTGCTCGCACGCTCTGAAGCGTTGCTCACACACTCAGAAGTGATGCTTGCACACTCAGCTGCAATGCTTGCACCCTCAGCTGCGTTGCTCACACACTCAGCTGCATTGCTTGCACCCTCACCTGCGTTGCTCGCATGCTCAGCTGCGTTGCTTGCGCCCTCAGCAGCGTTGCTCGCACCCTCAGCTGCATTGCTCACATGCTCGGCTGCGTTGCTGGCACACTCAGCCGCGTTGCTCGCACCCTCGGCTGTGTTGCTCGCAGCCTCAGCTACCTTCCTCGCACACTCAGCGGCTATGCTCTCACTCTCAGCTGCGTTGCTCCCACACTCAGCTGCGTTGCTCGCACCCTCAGCTGCGTTGTTGGCACGCTCACCTGCGTTGCTCGCATGCTCTGCTGCTTTGCTCGCATGCTCTGCTGCGTTCCTCGCACAAACAGCTGCGATGCTTGCACAGTCAGCTGCATTGCTCGCACACTCAGCTGCGATGATCGCACCCTCAGCAGCGTTGCTCGCACAGTCAGCTGAGTTGCTTGCACCCTCATTTGCGTTGCTCGCACCCTGAGCTGCGTTGCCTGCATGCTCAGCTGCGTTGCTCGCACACTCAGCTGCATTGCTTGCACCCTCATCTGTGTTGCTCGCACCCTGAGCTGCGTTGTCTGGATGCTCAGCTGTGTTGCTCGCACCCTCAGCTGCGTTGCTCGCATGCTCAGCTGCATTTCTCGGACACTCAGCTGCATTGCTCGCACCCTCAGCTCGTTTTTGCCGGAAAATGCTTAGAAAGGCTATGAATCCCTATAAGTGTAGAGCAAGCATTCAACAACCTGAATGTTATTGCATATTCGAGTAGCTTATGTTCAAGTACACTTATTAGAGCCTTTCCAGCCTGATTTGTGCGCAAAACAAAGTTCGGCACCAATGATTTAGACCGTTTTTGCCGACAAATGCTTAGAAAGGCCATGAATCCCTATAGGCGTAGGGAAAACCATTCAACAACCTGAATTTACTGCATATTCATGTAGCTTAGGTTAAAAAAAAACATATTAGAGCCTTTTTAGATTGATTCGTGTGCAAAGAAAAGTTCGGCACCTGTGATTTCGACCGTTTTTTGCTGACAAATGCTTTGAAAGACCATGAATCCCTATAGGCGTAAGGAAAAACATTGAACACCTAAATGTTACTGCATATTCGAGTAGCTTAGGTTCAAATACACAAATTAGACACACTTCTGGGTTTAGGGTTTAGGGTTTAGGGTTTAGGGTTGGGGTTTAGGGTTGGGGTTTAGGGTTGGGGTTTCGGGTTT